TCACACGTATGAAAACATAGCACAAAAATAAATTTAGGTGAAGTGGTGAGATCTCACCTCTTTTTTCACCTCTTTTTTCACCCACTTGAATTCATTGCTTTATAACTCTCTTCCTTTCTCCAACTCTTCTAACTTCTTCTTAAGTTCAGCAATGTTGTCCTCATGAAGTTTAATCTTCCTTAATATACCTTCTCTATCTAATGGTTGCTTTATCTTTCTAAACTGAACTCTACCATCCTTCATAGTATGAATGTAAAAACCTTCTGGAATAGTTCCTGATTTAATGTATTCTACCAAAAACTTTTGTTTCATTGCTTCAGTGACTTTATTTGTCATTTCAATCAAATAAAAATTTTAATATTAAATAAAAATAACGTTATTTTTTCAGTAAGGAAACGCAGGAGTTTTACGATTTATTTGAGGAGTAGGTTCTGGTTTAAATGTTGGAGTCGGTTTAGGAGTTGACTTTTGAACAGGAGTTTGTACTTTCATAGGTTCAGGAGTCATTGAAGGTGTTGTTTGTGATGGTGTCGGAGTTTGTTTAACTTCAGCTACTTCAGTATTATTTACAACATTTGCTTTATTTCTTTTCAACATCATAACTGCTCCTGCTGTAGCTAGCAAACCTAGTGGGAGACCATATCTTATATAAGGACTTGACCAAATGCTATTTTTGACAGGAGCTGGTGGAACACCTAACCTTGGTGAGACTGCTCTTTGCCATTGTGCAGCTCGTAAGAAATATTCAATAGGTGCTCCATAATCGTTTGGTAAAGTTTGTTTCATAGATGGTGAAGGTTCACGAGAGCTTGATGAAGAACTCATTTATAAGCTTTAAAAATAAACGTTCATCCTTTATTCCTCACTGTCGTCCGTAGCTAAGTTATAGTCATCTAATCTTATTATTGGGATGCCATTAGCACGCACCTGAATGGCAAAGCAACAATCCCTCATAAATCCAATAAGTGGCTTTGGTACATTTTCAGTTGCTAGTTCAATAGGTCCTTTAACAGACAATTTGTATGTTATTGGAGCAGTAGATGTTTGACCTTGTTGGAAGCAAAAGTCCACTTCTGTTGGAAAACCACATAAGAAATGTGTGTTGTCATAGCTATCCCATTTATGTTCCACACTACCATCATCCACCAATGACCTCATAACATCTTCATTAAATCCTATCATATCATTGTTTGTATTGCAAGCGTTCGCAACCATTTCATAAAATACAGGTCCATATGATTTTTCAGGTTCTGCAGGCATATTTCCATAAGCTCCCATGGAAAGCTGAAGATATTTAAACTTAGGGTTCTCAAAATTAACATAATAGTTGTCTTTCTTTCTAAATAGTGCCCAAATACTTTTAACATTAATAGGCGTATAAGCTGCTGTAAATGTTGCACTTGAACTATCTGTATTCTTTGAGAATGAACCGTCCATAGGAATCCAATCCATAACTTTAACAGGAAAACATAAAGCCTCGTTTGTATAATGTTCTACAAGTTCTGTATAAATGTTAGGGTCTAAAGAGAATGACTTTGGATGAATGAAACATTCATTAAAATCCATCTTTGTTCGAAATAGTTGCTGGGTTACAGTTGTAATAGTAACTGTTCCACTAGCTTCTACTGCCTTCGTTATCATAGTGAATGGTTCATTCCATGGAACAAATTTATTTGTCGGTGGATTTGAATCTGAAGCAAATGCAACTTTAAGAGTTGGATTGAAAGCAATGATATCATTTACAGATATAGATGTGCATTGTAAGGCGTCGCTACTGAACTTTACTTTAAGCTGAATGTTTCCTGCAAAAGCTGGAATAAATCGAATAGCTTCTAATGGAAGGAATCTTCTAACAGGAATTCTTAAACGAAGCTTAAAATCAAATGATTTTCCTGCTGTAATTGGACCACTAACAATTTGTCCTGTTCTGCATGTTCCCGAATGACTCCATACATCTTCATGTCGAGTCTTTGAGAAAACATCTACTTTCTTTATTTGTTCGGTAGTTTGTGAGTTTGAAGTTATATATGCTTCTTCTCTTGCGTTGTCTTGAGAATATACGATACGACCATTTGCAAGGATTTGATATCCAGCAACTGCATAGAAAGCGTCATCGAAACCAATCCAAAATCCTGGTGGGTTTGTTTTATTGGAACCTGAACCAATTTCTTTATCTACAATAAATTGACCTTCCATTTTATACGTAATGAATGTATTGTAAAGGTCCAACATATTTTCACCAGGAGGTGAGAGATTGAATGTTACCCATGTGTTATCTTTAGCAGTTCCAGGTTGTGATGGAATCTTTGCGTCAGAATATTTTCTATTAGTGTCACCAATTTGAACTGCATTGTCTATGATATCGAAATATGAGCGAATCTGATGAATATGCTCTGCTGGAGTAAATTCGTTTAGCTGTTCGTTCTGCATGTATTTACTTCAGATAAAAATATCTATTTACTTCATTATTCTCACTCTTCTTCTTGGCATTCGTGGTGGAAGTTGTTTCTTGACATTTTCAATGAACTGTACATTCTCTTTTGTCTCAACTTCTTTCACTGGCGGGTCAGGGTTCTTTGACTCGGTTTGCTTTTCAATGAAATTCACGAACTTTGCAATAAGCTCTTGGTTCGTTATTGAAAGAACATCTGGCTTCTTTTCTTCTTGTTCTATTGACTTTTCAGTTTGAACAGAAGGTTTTATATGGGCTTCGTGGCTTCGCCCTTGCCATGCACCTTAATGTTGTCGCTCTCTGTATTCGCTAATGGAACCTTTCTTTTTCTTACGTATATTTTACCATCTTTACTCTGACTTACATAATAGAAAGGATGTTGTATTCCTCTTGCGTCATTTAATATAATAGACTCTCGTTCTGATTTTGACAAGCTCATTTTACATCGGTTAAAGTTTTAATTTTGTTTTTTATCTGCAGTCAAATGACTCAGACAAGCCCTACGGACAAGACCCAAGGTGTCATAGATGTTGAAGCATTGAAGAAAGAAATTCGTGAGCAAATTTTATCCGAACTGAAGGAACAAAAACAAGAACAAAAGCCAGAGAGACCAAAGAGAAAACTTAGTGAAAAACAACTTGCTGCATTAGCTGCTGGAAGACAAAAGAACCCACGTTTGCTGGCAAAGAAAGCTAGAGAAGAAGCTGAAGCAAAAGCTAAAGAAGCTGAAGCAAAGAAAGAGTAAATGGTTTATTTTTATCCGAATAAATGTATAGACAAATACCTTTATCTGTTGCGTTCAGTAGTGAAAACCCTGACGTCAAAATAAAGGGGAACAGAGTAACGTTTAAGTTTCCAACAGACTGGATTGTGAACATAAATGAAGAGAAGTACATTGGCATAACATCTATGTATATAACACGTGCTTTCAGAAAGGTTGACTTTATACTTCAAGTCGAGATAGAAAATGACGAACAGTCTTTAAGCGCCCAAAACATTCACATATACAAATACTTTAAAGACGATACAACATTGTTGCAATGTATGATTTCATTTAATGAGATGTTCGAGAAAAAGTTCAACATTGAAGTACAAACTTTACAGCCTTTACGTGAGTTTCTTGCACAACTGAAAGAAGAAGGTAGTCAGCCACAACTTATAGACTTTCATTATGAATTTAATGAAAATGAAGATGGAACTCATGACTGTCAATTCATTGTATTTTCACCATTCAATGAAGTCGCTAAAGAAAAAAATCCATTACGTATAAGATTTCAAATCTCCGAACCAAGTGATGATTTTAAGAATGTTTTCAATTATGATGCAATGCTTCCGAGGAAAAATGAATTTTCAAAGATTGTAACACCTGGCATTTGGGATAGAAAGCAAGCTATATTTATCAAATAAGTAAAGGGTTGAAAATGAGTTCATTGGTCATACAAGAACTTCACCACTTCCTAACCCTAAATACTATAAATTAACTGGCTTCAATCGTGAGTTTTGGATAGACATGTTCTCCACTCATGACCATAAATGTCCAGTGTTCTTGCCTCCAGACCATAAGGACTGTCTCTACATTGAAGCACAACTCTTAAACTCTACCATCGCAGTATTGTAAAATCTACGCTAGCTTTATTTTTATCACGAATGACCTCATTCATGACCTCATTCATGACCTCATTGCTGACAAAAATAATAGCGAAGGGCGAAGCCCATGACCTCAGAACTTCAACTTACGAATAAAGCTTGTTTTAGTCGTTATTGAAAAGTTGAACTTTTCAGCAAAGCAAGGTTGACATGACTTACATAAGTCGAATGCAATCTCTTGACCATCATAAAGTGCTTTGTAAAGTTTCATTAAACTGAACTCAGAGTCTTTGTCATATGTTCCAACAGGTATGTGAATGTTCTTATCTTCATTGTAATAGCATTGTATAGCTTCAGGAAACATTTCATTAGCGGTTAAAGCAATAACATCTTGCTTCACGCCTTTCATTCTGCAGTGAAATGCAACTTCATTTAAATCATTCGTGAGTAAGTCTATGTAGGTCTTCTTTCCACAGAAAATACTTTTATAAGCTAAACTTTGTTTTCCAGGTGTTATTTCTGCAAAGTCGCTATGAAATTGACCAAGGTTCTTTCCTATAAGTTCGCGACCATATCTCTTCTTAAACTCTGCTGCAAGCTTTGGGATGTCTTCATTATATAAGTGCATACTGTCGGTATCCTGGTAAAAGATTTGAAGTCCCATGTCCTCTGCAGTACAGAATACTTCATTCATAATACGTTTTGACATAGACAGAATATTAACACCAAGTGGACAGAAGTTAAAGTGTCTGCAAATGCTTTTCGTTAGCTTGAAAATAGTTTTATCTGAACCATCCAAACCTTCGAACTTCACTATATGGTTGTAATTTCTTATAGCATATCTTATAGCATCTTTGTCATTTACTATGGTTATTTTTGACTCAATAGGAGATAGAATAGTTTTGCCATAAATGCTGTTCAGAATGAGTTTTATAATTTCTTGTAAGGGGTTTCTTCTTTCTTATACTTTAACCTTAACTCAAACAACTTCTTTACTTCATCTCTTATTCTCATATCTCTGTTTCCATCGTAATAGTATCCTTGCAACACTTCACATTTGACACCTTGATATTTTATGAGGTCTTGTAATGTTATATGGTCAACATACATGAGACAGCAAGTGTTTGAACTTCTTGGAACGTTAAGTTCTGGATTTAGTTCAGGGTCGCAAACTATTAAATGAAAGTGTCTGGGTATACCAATCTCTGTTATCTTAATGAGAACAAAGAAGCCAGACATAAACTTTTCACCAATGGGTTCCTTTTGGTCATCATCGAATAAATGTCTCATGAGATACTCTGTGCTTAACATCTCATCCTTCAATACTTTTGGAATACCTTCTAAAGTATAAAGTCTTGCTATAGCTGAAGGATATAATGAAACAGTGTCGAAGTCAGCAATGAGTTTCTTTTTGCTCTTTTGTTTCATGTTATCTGACAACATACATCTTCCACCTTGAATGCATCTCGAAATAAATTCTCTTGGTTTATTTGAGAGGTCATAAAGATTTCCATTCGGGAAGTATACTCTGTTCTCAAACAATTTGTTAGCAATAGAACAAATACTAACGTAGTCATAAACGTTTAAATCAAACTCTTTCAATAAGTCATTGCGGAACTTTACAAAACCTTCTCTTAAAATTCTTACATCTTGTTTGCAGTAAAACGTGCTATATTTTTTAAGTCGAAGTGGTTCTCATCTATTCTGCAACCTTTGATGGAATCTATGTTTTTCATAAATGTATCTGCATCATGGATAAACTTACATGCTTCAGAAATGACACCAGTTCTGTTGTCATTTGCTAACAAAACACTGCTGTAGTTAGTTATATGGAATACTTCTTTCGGTCCTTTTGTAAGTTAAACATAGCAGGAAATAGTTTAAGCTTCTTATTTAAACACTGTAAGAGTCTTTTATAATAATTGCCCGTCCTTTATATAAACCAGTTATTTGCATTGTTCGTGAACCTTTAATGATGGGAGTTCCTTTCACTTCTGTCATGTGTCTTAAGATGAAGTTTATGTCATAACTGAGGTTATGGAAATATATTAAACTCTTGTCAGGAAGTCTTTCCAAAAATTCTGTTGCACAGTTTTGACCCCAAATGCTTTCACTCACTGAACCATCTTCACTGTCATAACAGATGTTAAAAGCTTTATGAAAGCCATCCGTACTACACTCAAAGTCAGCAAAGAAAACGTGCTCAGGTATGAATTTACATTTAGCTTTATTTACTTCTTTTGACTCTGCTTTCTTCTTCAGTTGTACACAATACTTTGGAGCATATGTCAAATCTTTAAATGGTGCAAGGTTCTGTTTATATAAGTCAGTAGTATATGTGAAAAGTTCTCCATAAGAAATAGGTTCGAAATATTTGCACTCCCACAATGTTTTCATAACATCCCATAACGGTGTTGTTCTATCATAACGAACTACATATTTATCTTCTCTCTTTGTATAAATCTTCATCTGTTTCTCAATGTTCATTCCACCACAAGCTTTGAGAATTTCTTTATAGTTTCGAATGAAGTATGTTGTCATTGGTAATCTTTCATTTAGCATGTAGTGGTCTTCAACAAGAAGTAAGTCAATAGTTCTAACAGTTTCGCATTCTTTTGGTATATATCTCTTTATTTCATTATGTCTTGACTCATTGAAATAACCAATGGTAACATTAAATGATATACCTGTTGCGTCAGAAATTTCTTGTACTTTACTTTGAGGAAAGTCTCTAACACGAATGACTTCTCTCATGTGGTCAATAGTTTCTTCATTTACTCCAGCCTGAATGCAAGCATAAACGAAACAATTGTCCTCTGTCATAAGTGTTGCAGTTCTTTTGTTCAGTTCATTGAAGATTTGGTAGCGTTCAAGATTTATAGGTAATGTGCAAAGATACTTCCAGAACTGACCGCTTCTCTTCTTATAAAACTTCTTTTCACCATTATCTTTCCAAAAGCTTTCTATAAGTGCTGGGTTTCCTGTTTGCTTAAGAGCTTCCAAAATGGCTTTCTGGTCATTTGTCAGTGTGCTTTCATCTCTATATGGTCTCTTTTTTGGTTTGCCTTTCTTTACATCTGACATCGTTAAGCCTTCATATTCTGTTAAATCATACATCTTTATTTCGGTAAGATTCTTTATGTTTGTCAAGAAGAAGTCATAGTGCATTTCAACAATACCTGCAGCATTTGCTTCTATCTCTGATATAAAGTTCTCCTTCAAGAGCTGATGTAGTAATGTTCCAATATTATTGAGGTTTAACGTAGAACATTCATACTTTCCACCAAGTTTATAACATACCATCCATCTCTGTTGTGAGTTTATTTTAATTTTCTCTAAGAGTCTCATGAAAACCTTACCGAAATGTTTGTGTAAGTAGTCTCTGTTTGGTTCATCTAAAGCTTCGATGTTAAAGTCAATGAGTCTATTGCCTGACTTCACATTTCTCTTCCTATTCTCTTCATCTTTCTTTAACCATCTCTCACCTTCTTTTGGTTTGTCGTCAATGGAACGAATGACATCGTTAGCTTTGCGAACTTGTTCTATAGCACTTTTAAACATCTCTCTTCTCTGTTGTTTCAGTGTGTCATCTCTCTTTCGTGTTTCACCAACGTTTGCATTTGTTATGTCAAACATCTCTTGACGAACATCATGCGAAAGAGCTTTACGAGTATGACCAACGTTCGCATTTGTTATGTCAAACATCTCTCTTCTTACTTCATGAGGTACTGAACGTCTATGATATAAGTCAATAGCAATGTCATTTAAAGGAAATGCTATTGCATGGACTTCGTCCTCGCCGCGTTGCGGCTTTATGAACTCATGAATTCTATCATAACTTATTGCACCATTATAGTCTTTAATGAAGTCAGCGAGTGCTTTTTTGTTTGTCGCGTAATGCTTTGCAACATCTATATTAGCTTCTGTAAGAAGTTGTTTTATTTCCGAGTGTTCTAACTTAGACAACTTCCGATACATCTTTAGTAGGAAATAAAAAAATATTTTTTCGAAAAAATAAACTTAGAAAAATTATTTCTTTATATATTTGCCATTCCGAACTTCGAAAAGATGTTTTATACCAGCATAGAATTTTTCTCTAGAGCTTGGTCTTATATCGTTTTCATGACAATATTTTCTATATTCTTCATATAAAGCCTTTTTTTCATACATTTTATAAGGACAATCTAACCAGAATAGCGCATATCCATTTTCGTTATCTAGGTCTCTATATGTTTGTGGAATTTCGCTTTCTTCTGTTTGTAGAATTTCGCCTTCACTATTTAGTTCTATGTATATATATTGTGGAATTTCGCCTTCACTATTTAGTTCTATGTATATATATTGTGGAATTTCGCTTTCTCTATTTAGTTCTATGTATATATATTGTGGCTTAAAAGGATGTGGGCAAGAAGGGTCTGGCGCTATGTAAAAAGTTAATTTTTCTGTCATCTTTTCTATCGGATAAAAAATATTTTTTGAAAAATTAGATTACATTTTTTTAAGTTATTTTTCAAAATAATTTAATATTTTTATTTTAATGAAACACATGCAAGATTGCAAGTTCTTTTCATACAATGCTCTCGCTACTGCCATCAAGAATGAGTTCAATGGTGCTTCAAACGTTAATGTTATCTTTAACAAGAAGTTTGTGAAAGAATCTAAGTTCGGTCAGTATGTCAGACCATTAGCTATTGTCATTGACCGCAAACGTTATACTTCACAAGAGTTAGCAGTAGTTTTGAAACAAAAGAGTTTCTTCGTGAATGTCAAAGATACTCATTATACTGTTATAAAGAACTCCAACATTGACTTCTTCAGTATTGCTTTAAATCTTTCCGAACAGAAAGAATATAAGAAGGGTGAAACAAACGTGAAATATTATCCTTCATCTCTGAAGACAATAACGAACAAAGATGTTATACAGAAATTCTTACCAAAGGTTGAAGAAGCTTCAATTGACATTGACGAAGGAAGTGAAATGGTTGAAGAAATTGACCCTGAAGCTATTTAAGCAAAAATATATTTTTGGTGAAGAGGTGAGATGTCACCCGTTTTTTCACCTGTTTTCTCACCTCATTCTCTCTTCGTTAATGTTGTCGTGACTTCTTCGTTAATGTTGTCGTGACTTCATTCTTCCTCTTTGAAGTTATCGAAATACTCTGTTATTTTTTCCTTTAACAATGGTAAGTCTTCTTTGAATGTAAGTATTGTGCAACCTTTGATGTCATAGTGTGTTTGAGGAAGAGTATTTTTGACAATTTCCTTTATTTGCTCATTCGGTGTCATTGAAATCGGTAAGTTTTCACGATAGAACCAGTTTCTGTCAGATTTGTAAATCTTAGCAAGGTCATAAAAGCTTTTGTTGTTTCTTCTGACTAAATGCAACATAACCATATCTCTGTCTTCTTCATTTTCCATCTCTTCAGCGTAAATCATATACTTATAACTCTTTTCCTTTCCTTTTGGTACTGAACGTGGTATTCTTTTCTGTATGCTTTTGTCTTTGGATTCAATGACTTCATCTTTTGCTTGAAGTTTCTTTTCCATCTCTCCACGTTCTGCTTTATATAGTTCATCTAACATCATGAAAATATAACAAGCATAACGAGGTGAAGCCCACATTGCTACAGCATTTACTAAAAGTCTATGAACATAATAACCTTTCAAACCAGGTGCCAAATTCTTGCGATTTTCGTACGGAATCTCTTCCCTCGGTTTTCCGAGGGAAGCAATCATATGAGGAAATTCTTCTAAAAGTTCTTTTGCCTGTTGGTTTTCAAACCAATGATATGCTTGCTTTGTAGAACGAAGAGCGTTCATTATACTTTGCATTTGGTACATATCATCTTTGACAGAACGAATGAGTCTCAATTGTTTGTTATACTGTATGTATTCGTATTCTTCATTTATTGCTTCATGAACGATAGCAGTTGTTGTGTTCTCTAATGTTGACATATCTGTCTTTACATACAGGATAAAAAAATAAATAAAATAAAAACTAACTTTATTTTTTCTATCTTTCACAAAAGACCAAAAATAAACGCTTTACATGTATTTTTCAGCAACTTCGTCAAATAATTTTATAGCTTTATCTATCTCATCTACTTCAAACGTTTCTTTACCTTTTATGGGAGCACCATACATTTTCTCAAACTTTTCAAGTAGTTCTGTTTCAGCAGCTCTCATATCGTTAACGAACACAACCTTGACTCTATTGACTGTACTGTCATATCTTTGAGTTATATTATATGTTCTTCCTATCTTATATCTCTTTGTATTGAAGTCCTTCGGTTTCTGAACGATGTAAAGTAAGCCTTCACTGCAACGTTCCGTATCGAATGAACCATATGTTATGAAGTTATATCCAACAACTGGGTCTAACCATAACAAAACTATTGGTATAAGACTTTTGTCTATAAGATATGCTGTAGTTCCATAGAATCTTACCGATATCATAAGCTTAGGATTTCTTGTCAAAATTTTCTGAGTAGAAGCAATTTTAACCCAGTCGTGGGATGTTTTCTTTCCAGATGGAGATATAATGTCTGACAAAGAATATTTGTTGTATTTCTTTGAGTATCTTACGTTTAAATCACCTATTCTAACCACTTTGGTGTCATTGTCTATCTTTTTAACTGTTTCAAACTCAGTGTTTGACATTTTTGTTCTTACATACAAAATAAAAAAATAAATAAAATAAAAACTAACTTTATTTTTTCTGTCTTAAGGAAATTCATGAAATTTGGTCATTTTTCAGCAAAAATAATGTTTAGGTGAAGAGGTGAGATTTCACCTCTTTTTTCACCTAATTTTTCACCTCTTTTTTTCACAAGCGTTTTACATGGTAAACGTTATTTTTTAAATTTTGTGAAAACTCAACGGTTTGACACATGCCCTAAAAATTATTTTACTCAGAATTTTGTTGCTGAATTCAGCAAAAATATAATTTAGGTGAAGAGGTGAGATGTCACCCGTTTTTTCACCTGTTTTCTCACCCTAGTTATTTTATAAACGTTTTACATGAATTGTACGATGTATATTTGAAATCCTAAACAGTTTTGTAGCTTCTATTTCTTCGCTGAGGATATCAAAAGTTTTAACAATGCCGAAAGTCTCTTTATATTTCTTCTTGACGTCAGATAGAAGGAAATCTTCTGCTGTTGGATAGTTTTTGTTCAGAAATGCTAACATGTCCATTTTATCTTCTGCTGGCTTTTCTGCTTCTTTCTTTAAGTCTGCATAGTCGTTTCTCATTCTTTCTATCTCTTTGACTGAGTAGTTATATTTCCTTATTGCTGCTTTACATTTTGAACATTGCGGGTTCATTTTTGCATTATACATTGAAACCTTACCTGCTAAAACAACTAAGGCGTCAATTGCTCTCTTCATCTCAAACATAGCGGGTCTTATTTGTTCGTTCCATACTTTGCCTCTTCTATCTTTATCTCTTATTTCCCAAACACATTTTGCAACTAATGAAACAAAGTTATCGTAAGTCTTAAATTCTTCAGATTTATATATGTCAGAAACATTCTTATATACCATGTCGCAATCTTTGTCCATAACCTTATGGTTGCAATGAAAACCAAGGAATTCATAATTTACTTTACGTATGAACTTCTTTATTTCTACTGAGTCAGTTGGTTTCACTTCAATTTCGTCGAATTCAGGAATAGTGAGTTTTTGTTGTTGGATTTCAGGCAATTTGGGTAAATGGTCAATAATGTCCTGCATTTCATAAAGATACTGTTCATTTGTTTCATCTTTCGCACTACAGTCTAAATTACTTGTTAAAAGTTCTTGCTTTATCTTCTGGATTTTTGTTTCGAAAGTATATGAAGAAGGAATGAAGTTTTTCATCTCTACTAACATTGACGTAGGATTCATGACTAACGAGTTTGGTGCTGTTGTTGTGGACAGAGTCCCGCCGTTCGCGGCTTGAATTGTTGTTGTGCCGATTGTTGAAATCATATCTTTTATACAAAATAAAAAAATAAATAAAAATAAAACTAACTTTATTTTTTATTTCGGGAAAATTCATGAAAATTCAAGAGGTGAAAAAAGAGGTGAAAAAACAGGTGAAATCTCACCTCTTCACCTAAACATTATTTTTGGGTGAATTCAATAAAAATAAATGGTTCATTTACTCACAATATTTTTTTACAAAACGACCCCAAACTTTTAACTTCTTTTCTGCAGCTTCAAATGCTATCTTAGCGAGTTCATATTCTCTAAATTCTCTCTTTAAATCTTCTTGTTCCCATTGGTCTAGTTCGTATGGAGAATCTCTATAACCATAATATATCTCACGTTCATGTTCTAATTGTTTTTCACACATTTTTCCAACTTCTTCTTCGAACAAAGGTTTAGCATTCTCCACTGTATCTTCGAGTTCTTCTTCATCTAACTTCTCATGAACTTTCTTGTCTATGGAGTCCATAATATCTTTGACATAAAATGCATACTTTACAGAGCACCATTCAGCAACAAAATGAACGAGGTCAGCATGTATGTAAATACCTTTGAATTCATTCATAACGCCCTTAGTAAGCTCATAAAATGCTTGTTTTGAGGTTGAGCCACTTTTGGCTCGACCGTATTCTTTCAACCAAAACTCAAGAATTTCCTGCATTTTAGCACTATTGAGAAATCTGTTTAAATGGTTTAACTTTCCTGCTTCTCTTGCCATCTTTGTTGCATTAATGTAACCATCCTTGTCTCTACGTAAGACTTCAATACCGTTATAAGTGCCTTTTGTGAATGTTTCACCATTAGATTTGTTCGTGAATGTTTTTGCTTCGACCGTCATTATTGTCTTTACATACAAAATAAAAAATAAAAATAATTTTAAAACTAACTTTATTTTTTCTATCTTAAGGAAATTCATGAAAATTCACGGGGTGAAAAAAGAGGTGAGAAAACAGGTGAAATCTCACCTCTTCACCTAAACATTATTTTTGTCTGATTTACATCTAATGAAAAAGTTTAGAAGAATTTTCTTATTCTTTCTGGCATGTTTTTATCTTTCCAGTACTCCCGCTCTAATGGTCCCAGATGTGTTGGCTTCGACTCTCTCAAGTTCTTAGATGGTATAACATCTTCAACGCCTCCTTCATATCTTACTTTATAAGTGTCATCGTTTGTGTTATAGCCAAGTATTTCAATAACCACTCCTCGCTTTGCTTCGTCAATGGTTTCAGCAAGTTTGCCATTACTACTTTCGACTAATTTATGTCGAGGGTAAAATGCTATGGAGTCGTCAGCAGCTTTTATAAGATATCCATTACCTTGCGTAGAGTCTACGATATAATAATTTCGACTTAACCTTAAACGTTTCTTTGTCAACGGTTTGTCGTCAAGAACTACACGAACTTTTGTTCCAGGAATGAGAGTAAATTGTGTTGAATTTCTGATATTTTGTGTTTGGCTTCGTTTCTTTTGTATATACTTTTCTTCTTGTTGTTGTGTCATTGAATTTGGTGTATGTCCTGTTGTAGAATGTGTTGAGGAATTGTAAACTTCGATGAAATGTTTCATTGTTTCTTCGGTAAAGTCTCGCTCTTGATTTAAATCTCTGAGAGTCCTTATGAAGCGGTTTATGATGCCGAGTATGTTATGGTTATGGTCTTCAGTAGTGTAGTGAGTTATGTTATGCTTAATGAGAAATTCTGTGATTTCGTTGCTGAGGTATGCACCGTCTTGGTCTGATGTTAAAATACTTGGGCTATGTTCTGCTACAAACTTTTGTAAAACTCTTAACACTTCATGAGTTCCTTTATTTCTCATTATATACGCAAAAGCTTTGCGAGTGTTAACATTAATGAAGATGAGGAATGGTTTATGACCACATTTTCTGCTTTGAATGAGAGTGTCAAATTGGTATGCGTCAGGAGTGTTGGAGTAAATTGGTAAAAAGTAGTCGTAAGGGTTTATTTTTGTTTGATGTACAACATTTTTGTCAAAGAACCTTTTCACTTCAGCTCTGTTAGTAAATCCCCGACTCTTTGCAGCTTCATTGAACTTCTTAAATGACCTCCATGGATGTTGTTCGAATACTTCTTTCAAGCTCATTTATGTAAAGTTAAAGATTTTATTCTAGGCTCAAGCGCGTTCATTGAACGCGGTACCATGCGAATATAGTCATAAATGGTGGCATATAATCTTCACCCGAGCCTGTTGGATTTGTTGTGAAAGTGTGTGAATGATTTCCTGTGGTTCCACAGAAAATACCTGTGCTTGAATCTACTGGGTCACTTGAAATATCATATCTATGCATTCCCTGTCTATCCGAACCTGCTGCAAGATTTGTATAACCTCTTTTTGTTATTGAATGTGAATGACTACCTGTTGTGTTTGTAGTTCCTGTATGAGTGTGCGGTGGAAGGTTTGCTTCAGTAATTTTCTTCGAACCTCCTGTTTGCTTTGAATATCTAGCACAGTATAAGAATTTATCTACAATCTGTTCCCACGTACCGAAACCCAGAACTGTTGCTGGATTTGTTGAGTTCATTGCCGTATAAATAGAACCTATAGGATATAATGTTTGAAGTATTTCTGTCTTTAATGTTTGAAGCTCTGTTTTGTCAGCTTTCTTATCTAACATTGCTGGTAGTTCATATGCTTCAAAGTTTCTGGCATGATCTTCGGTATTCCTGCAACTCTTATCTAAATTGTTAAGAGTATCTTTTACGCTTGTACTTGGATTTTCTAATGGTGCACTTGAACCAAGGTCAAAGTTCAATATTATGTCGTCTGCTCTAACAGTAGTGAAGGATTCATGTGTATGGTTTTTGTCAGCTTTCTTATCATATAAATCTTGAGCAGTGAATTTAACATTATTTTCATCCTCCATGACATAAACATTTCTACATCTAATGTATTTCATCGTCGTTATGTTTTCCTCCGATGTTAAACCTTGTGGAAAGTTAGGAGGTTTCCAATATAATGCATCCCCACCAGTTCCTTCAACCGTTCCTTCAATACTTTCTATACCAACAGTTGTGAAGAAATCATGTGTATGGTTCTTATCTGCTTTCTTATCTAACATTGCTGGTAGTTCATGTGTTTCAAAGTTTCTGACATGACTTTCAATATTCCTGCAACTCTTATCTAAACTGTTAAGAGTATCTTTTACGCTTGTACTTGGATTTTCTAATGGTGCACTTGAACCAAGGTCAAAGTTCAATATTATGTCGTCTGCTCTAACAGTAGTGAAGGATTTATGTGTATGGTTCTTGTCAGCTTTACTGTCTAAAGAAGTTTGAAGTTCATTTATATCGGAGATGTTGTGTTTATGAGATTTCAAAACTTTGTTCATTGCTTCGAGTTCAACTTTGTCAGCTTTACTTTTAATAGCATCTTCAAACGTTATTTTTGACTTAACTCTCAAAGTAAATCTTGGTTCAACTAATACACCGTTAACATTGAAAGTAGAGGCATAAATTTCACCGGTATAACCAAATGCTTCTGGTGCTTTAGCTACATCATACTGTACAGTACAGCTTATGTCATAACCTTTAGCACGAATGTATTTATATCTTCTTTCATTAACATTTTTTGTCTTCGCTTCATCACTTCGTGTTAAATATCCATGGTAGTCCGTTATAATCTGTTCGTCTGAAGTTATATAATGAACGTGGTTTTTATCTGCTTTTTCGGCTAATTTCTCATTAACATCATTCACTTCTAATTCAACTCTTCCGCCAGAACTCTTATTATCATTAATCTTTTTCATTAATTCGGTAATTACGTCATAAAGACTATATTCTGTTTTCGGTTTTGTAAATAATGAGTCAAAATTTCTTTTCATCATTACATCGCTGACATTAATGATATCACCAATTCCTTTTTCATTTATTCTCTTCATTAATTCTGCAATAATGACGAATATATAATCTGTTAATTTATTCTCTTCATCGAGGGTTATAGAATGTTTTGAAATTGAATCATTAACTCCTCTAAATAAATCAATAACTTCAGGATACACGTTTTTAATGTCTTGAATAACCCGACCAGTATCCTCGCCACTATGTGGCTCTGAGCCCGTTGGGCTCTGTTGTTCATGTTCTTCGTTCCCGTCGTTACGTGGTTTTATATCTCTAACCATCATCAACGCAGCCATAACCGGAGGGTTTGTTGCTACCTGTTCGAAAATCCGTCCGTTATGTATGGTATATCTAAATAATTTCTTTGTGTTTGTTAAAACATTTGAAACAAGCCTTTTAAAACCATCTACAAAATTTCCTGTTTCACCTAATGTTCTTGCAGCATTTACAAGCTCACCCATTCCCGCTTTTGACCCCAAAAACGTCCATATTGCATTTATTTCACTCTGTATAGTTGTCCATTCAGCGAAACTAACACCCGCATTCGCTAAGCTGAAAATGAAATTCAGTGGATCGAACTTAATTCCACCTTCTTTTTCAATTTCAACGAACTCACTAACATGAGATTTTAAATATTCTTTCGTTAAAATTGTTTTCCCCGATGTTATGTCATTAACGGAACTATCACCATCAAAAGTTAATGAATTCAATTTCGTCGTTGATGCTTTTATTTCATACACCGCTTTATCGATAGTTTTTGGCTCACCTTCTTTAGAAGCATATGAAACATTAATGAATGAATTATATGTATTCATGAATGAGTTAAAATCAATGATTTTCATTAATGACGCCTTTAATGATTCATTTACTGTCGAATCCCTTAAAACAATTACTGAACTGTCCTTTATGAAAGGTACACTGCAAACCGTCGAGTTTGGATCAAATGCTGTAGTTGGTGCAGGAATATTAATGATATAAGTCATTAAATCATTAAGTGACGTAAATAATGTTGTCGTTTTTGATTTAATTTCTTTAGCATCTGTTATATATGGTAATTTTATTTCTGTAGTTTCTGAATTAAAGATATTCGCTAAAATGTTTTGTAAACTGTTTTGAACAGCAGTATAAACCGTTGAATCCGGAACTCTTACGATTTCACCGTCCTTAATAAAAGGCATTGCACATGGTGTAGTGCTTGGGTCAAATCTTTCGGGATTATAATTCAACATATATTCTAATGCTTCATATACAGACTTATATACTGTTGTGTCGTTCTTCATGACAACTTCACCATTTACAATGAATGGCATTGTACATGGAGTTAAAATAGGGTCAAACTTTTCATAGTCCTTCCATGTTATGTATTTCTCGGTATTTCCATCACTGATAACAATATATTTGTCAGTAAGTGTGAGAGAGTATTGACCAAAATATAAACGTTTAGCTCTGTCAGCTTCATACGCATATGCAGCTATACTCATATTTTAATGAGAATAAAATGTTGTTCTATTTGCAAAGTACAGACCCAAACGAATACGGGACAGTAAAGCTACAAACAAACTTAGGTCTTCAGAATGAAGCGCTTGCTTTCAGAGTTGTTGACTTTAATACTATCGCAACTTTTGTCATAACAGATGAAACAGATTTCATGGAGATTGAAATAGATGGAAAGAAGCATGAAATAAGATTTCACAATAATGTAGAATATAAGATGGAAACATTAGCTGGAGTGTTAAATGCGCTCATAAATACTACAATAAACAAGGAGAACGAAGAAAACTTAATGAATGTTAAACTTATTGCAGGAGTTTTGAAGTTCAGTTATGCGAAGGAGTTTAAGATAACACGAATGAGTCATAGAGTTCAATTGCTTCTGGGAGCATACCATATGACATTTCCTTTGAAAAGTTTTGACAAAACGATTGAGATGAAATCTGTTCCATACGTATGTTATGGCAATTGTTTATACATTGAGTCTAAAATAGCTAATGTCACAGGCATTTCAGGAGTTAATAGTAAAGGTTCAGTAGAATATAAGTCTTTCTGTTATGCAGTCAATTCATGTTCATTCCAAACGTTCCTGTCATAGCAACTCATTTAGGTAAATGGATTCGCATTAGTCCTCATAATTTGAAAGACATGCAATTCAGACTAGTTGACTTTCAAGGCGAGCCTGTAGAACTGAAGGCACCAGTGCGAATGACTGTTGAAGTTGACTTTTTAGAAAATATTAAATGCAACAGCTTACAAGAGAACTCAGAGCTAAAAATATAAAGTAATGAATGTTATGTATTAGGTCATGAACTTTGGTTGTTGCTGTTTGATGAAACAAATGAATTAGTTATGTCAGTCAAGAGAAACAGAAAAAGGCTCAAGGCGCCGAGCGCAAAGCGCTATATTGTGTTAGTGAAAACTGCACCAAGTCAATAAGATTAGGTTTGCATTATGAAGATGAGTTCGATACTGTTGAAGAAGTTTTGGATAGATATTACAAAATTGCTTTAATTTACTAAAACATATTTCAACATAAATTTATATTCTGTTGAAAGTTTTGTATATTCATTCGAATATTTATACTTAAACTCAAACTCCTGGAGTACTGGTATTTCAATGATGCGGATGTTACCTATTTTCATGAATGGTGGCGTTTGACCACAGCATTCGATTTCAGGGTCGAGATAGTCAATGACACATTGTTTCCCTGTTATTCGTGATATAACATTTTCAAGGTCTCCTTTGTTAGAATTATTTGGTTTCTTGCTTATAAGATTTGTCAAAAGCTTCTTATCGTCTTTGAGTAAAATTGTTTGGTATAACTGAAGAAGGTAATGGTCTACGTTATCTGAAGGATTTGTTTGAACATTTATGTAAGGGTTGTCGTTGGCTTCTCTTGAAAGAATTTGGTCCAGTGGTGGATACTCTAACTTAACATCTGATGTAGCGTTAGCGGTTTGAAGCTGAGTTTAAATTCACGGATTTCAGTTCTGGTTCTTTTTCTTCAAACACTCTGAACTATAGTTCTTTATGACAATATTGTTTGTCGTTCGTGAGTCAACATTTGATGTGGTTCAATTGGAACATTAACGGCACAGCTAAGATGGATTTGCTTCTCATTTCATATAGAATAAAACCTTTTATATGTATGAAATGAACAATATACTCGACAAGGGTTTGAATGTAAGCTAACGAAATGAAAATATTGTTTGAATTCACTGAGACAGGTGCTGTGTTATAAGATGTAGAACTACTGAACAAAAGAGCTAAGGGAAGAAGCAGGAACATGAACAAAGGGTGGAAGCCTATAAAAATTTATGTCAATGATGGCTCAGGAGGTTCAAACATAAAGTATGCAGAAGTTATAGAGTTTATGCTCTCAAAGGTGAAAAGCCTTCATTTAAGAACAGCTATTCTAGACGCATATCTCAAAGTTAACGGATGGGGAAGTGGATGATATGAATGACAGCAAAAATATTAACAGAAATGGCGACAGAGATGCATGGAATTTGTTTACCATCAGTCAATTGAAGGTTAAACTTTAAAACATGTTGGTCGTTCCCATGGAATATTTTTGACTTTAATGGTATTAGTCATGATATGAATCTCAAGGTATGAACGAGGAGAGATGAGAGACTTATATGCTTCCCAAATTTCTTCAAAAGGTATGTTTACTGACTGTTTCCAAATGAGTTCAATATCATAACGTGAGAAACCTTGAAAGATAACGAAGTCAGTTATGAGACGTTTTATGTTTAAAGCTAAAAACCTCCATGTTTGCATAAGTATTGCTACAGTTAAGTGGTAATGTCTGACTTTAGTAATGATGTTAGCTAATGGTGAGTCTGGTTTTGACACTAAACCTTTTTCCGGCGAAGTCGTCACAAACTAATAAAGTGTTTGATGGATATTTTTTGAAGGGGTATTTTGAAAGTTTTGATAGAATGTAGTTTGTAAGTCGTTTCATATCGTAAACTCCTGAGTACTGACGTAAGTGGTGTTTGTCAATAATTCTTTCCATCTCCTAGAAGTCTTTTCATTCCTGACTGTATAAATTCAACGATGGCATAATATTTCTCTTACGTCGAATGTAACGTTGAAGAAATTCAATGAGTTCACTGTCTGGAACTTTAACGACAGAGGCTTGAACTTTTGACATAAATGTTTTCGCTGTTGAGTCCATAGAGTCTGAAGTTGCTGATATAATGATTTGGTCATAATATGAGTCATTTCCTAAACGTTCTGTTATGAGTATATGACGAATGAGGTTAAATGTCTTACCTGACCCCATCTTTCCACAATAGAAATAAACACCATTTGAACAGAATTCATAATCTTTGCTGAAAGGAAGAATAAGAGAAGAGTTAAGTTTGTCTGTAGTTTCATTCATGTCTTCATCTACGTCATGTATTAAATGCTTCATTTTATCTCCATTAAAAATGCAAGTCAGAAATATTCAGAACATAGCACCGAGTCTAACTGACAAGAGTATAAAGATATACTATGAACATGTTATGATGAAACCAACCAAAATTCAAGAAAGTCAGTATACTTATGAATATCCAAGGCACTGGGTAGAGTATGTAGGAGGTGAGAAAGCTATTGAAATCAGACAGGTTCGAAGTATTCCAGCAGGAAGGACAATATTATTGAAGAACTTTAATGTTTTGAGGTATAATGATGAGACAAAGAAGCAAGATAGTTTCCCTGTTGCTGTGTATGTGAACCTAGACACAGGAGATGACATGAAAGTTTTTAACACAAAGCTTCAAACGGTAGTGAGAGAACAACTGACTGCGGAAGGACATCCATTACCTTCAGAAGTTAGCATAGCATATAATTTTGAAACAAATGCAATAGATTTTAAAGTCGTCTCTGCAAAGAAGTCAGGTTTTACATTTAATGAAGCAGATGTATATTCGAATGAAAACTTCAAAGCTATTGCATGGTTAGATAATGACGATTGCTTTAAGAAAATATTTAAATTCAGTGACTCAAAGATGTCAATAGATGACCTTCGTGGAATGTTACCATCGACGTTTACAGTTGAAGGTTCAGCAGGATTGCTTACAAGATTGTCAATTGGTGGTATTTGGTCTCGTGAGAACATTGTTATAAAATCCAGTATAAGTGAATTTGCTGAAGAATCTATATTATGTCTTTCAAACTACATGTATTCGCCACCGAAGCATTATAGTATTGTTATATACGAAAACGATAAAAACGGTTTGACAGAAAAGTGACAACTTTACGTGTCAAAAATATAAAAAGTGATATTTTATTCATCATTATCTTCTTCATAATTTATTTCATATTCTTCGTCTTACCAACAAAAGATGGGAATGTGAACAATTGCGGGCAATTTTTAGCCATTTTGGCTTGGAACTAGAGCCTGCGAGGTACATGGATAGTATCAGTACCTCACAGGCTCTAGTTTCTATATGGCGCGAGAAATTTTGGTGAAATGTGGTCGCATTTCACCAAAATTTTTTCGGCGCCATAGGATGAATTGGAGGGTGAGAGATATTATTTCATACAATACTACTCTCACCCTCCAATTCCCAGCCAAAATGGCTAAAAATTGCCCGCAATTGTTCACATTGCGGGCAATTTTTAGCCATTTTGGCTTGGAACTAGAGCCTGCGAGGTAATGGATAGTATCAGTACTCACAGGCTCTAGTTCTCTATATGGCGCCGAGAAATTTTGGTGAAATGTGGTCGCATTTCACCAAAATTTTTTCGGCGCCATAGGATGAATTGGAGGGTGAGAGATATTATTTCATACAATACTACTCTCACCTCCAATTCCCAGCCAAAATGCTAAAAATTGCCCGCAATGTGAACAATTGCGGGCAATTTTTAGCCATTTTGGCTTGGAACTAGAGCCTGCGAGGTACATGGATAGTATCAGTACTCACAGGCTCTAGTTCTCTATATGGCGCCGAGAAATTTTGGTGAAATGTGGTCGCATTTCACCAAAATTTTTTCGGCGCCATAGGATGAATTGGAGGGTGAGAGATATTATTTCATACAATACTACTCTCACCCTCCAATTCCCAGCCAAAATGGCTAAAAATTGCCCGCAATGTGAACAATTGCGGGCAATTTTTAGCCATTTTGGCTTGGAACTAGAGCCTGCGAGGTACATGGATAGTATCAGTACTCACAGGCTCTAGTTCTCTATATGGCGCCGAGAAATTTTGGTGAAATGTGGTCGCATTTCACCAAAATTTTTTCGGCGCCATAGGATGAATTGGAGGGTGAGAGATATTATTTCATACAATACTACTCTCACCCTCAATTTTAATTACTTAAACTCATTCTATTTTTTTGACATGTAAATGTCACTTTTACTGAGATCTGACACAATGTCAGATCTCTTTTTTTCGTATATAAGAGTATAACAAACTTTGTCAGTAAGTTTAACATAAGACTTGTCGAACCTTCTTCAATGAAAGATGTTGTGCTACCTAAAGATGGAAAGGATGGACTCATTATTGAGATGATTTTAATAGCATATTAAATGAGCTTGTTCTTGAAGGTCATTCATGATGAAATAACTGTTGTAGAAGATGTTAGCAATTGTTCAGACATTTTGAAGCGAATAGATGATATAAGAAAGAAGTTTATGAAGCCGCAACGCGGCGAGGACGAAGTCCATGAGAATGTTTATGTTTCATTGACTTTCTCCAGTAACGAGAACTTTTATGAGATAATATTGAAGAGAGATGATTTTAATATGGTGTAAATGGTAGCTTGGGCAGCTTTAGGCGCAATGGGAACAAAAGCATTAGCATTTGGAGCAAAAGCACTTGGGGCTTATGACGCAGTAAATAAAATGAGTGGAGGAAGAGTTTCGAAGACATTAGATGCAAATAAAGGAAAGATTGGAGGCTGGGTTGCAAAGAAGTTAAGATTAAATAAAATAGGACTCATAAATAAAGCATCCAATTTGGTTGCGACTGAGTCAGAAAATGCTTTAGGAAAGGACGATGAGTTTGCAAAACACGCAAAAGACTTTAATGACCAGATGAAAGGTGAAACAATGCATTTAAATAGAGTCGATGGAACTCTTCCTCCACCAGTAGTTCTTCCGTATGGTCCCTATGGAATGTATGGAAACCCTTACGAAAGACCATTTGACCCATTGACTGGTGGAAGTAACTGGTATCATTACGGACGAAGAAGAAAGACAGTTAAGCTGGAGACAGACGTGAAGAAAGCAACTAAAAAGAAACCAAGGAAGAGAGTTATAAAGCAATGAATTCAAGTGGGTGAAAAAACAGGTGAAAAAAGAGGTGAAATCTCACCACTTCACCTAAATTTATTTTTGTGCTATGTTTTCATACGTGTGAGGGTGGTGATATCATTAATTTTTTATTTTACTGAAAATTTTTATTTGGATGTAAATGACAGAACAAAAGCAACTCATACAAATCGAAAAATATAACAAACATACATTTAAACATTTATTCTTCCTTCCTGAGCATAACATGTTCTTTACACTTCATCCTAGACCAGTTGACTTTTCATTGACTGTGTATAAAGATTGTCATGGTAGTTTTATAAAAACTTATGATGATGAAGGTAAGTTAACAAGACTATGCATTTCAAAACTTGAGAAACTTTATGACTTCAAGTATGACTACAATAGAGTTAACATTGACGATGAAGATATAGAAGAAAATTTATGAGAACGTTTATTTTTTCATTAGTGAGTTCGTTAGTGAGGTGAAATGGTTGGCGGCTTTGTAAATATTTAAGGTTAAGTTAGTGTTGTCGTTTGTGTTGTAAAATGTACGTTAACGGTTTTGTAAAGTGTCAAATTCACAAGTATTGGGTAAGGTGGAACGCAGTGCCACCATACCCAAGACTGGTGTACTAACTAGTACTTGATGTTAGTGTTGGAGTTTGTACTTGTTGTTAGTGTTTGTCATTTGTGCTGAAGTTAGTACTTGATGTTAGTGTTGGAGTTTGTACTTGTTGTTAGTGTTTGTCATTTGTGCTGAAGTTAGTACTTGATGTTAGTGTTGGAGTTTGTGTTTGTTGTTAGTGAGAGAATAAATTAAATCATGAACTTTGCCATGGTCTCTGTCCCTAGTAGTTTTCATTAAGTTCTGGAAATAATGAAAGTCATGAACTTTGCCATGGTCTCTGTCCCTAGTAGTTTTCATTATCTCACAGAGTTAATGAAAGTCATACTTTCTATCAGATGAAGCATGCAGATGAACATAATGAAAGTTAGTGAGTTTGCCACGAGTTATGAATAAAATATTGGCATATTAGATGAGATAGCTGATGAAACAGATGAAGATAAATTAAATCTTGGACTTTGCCACACTCTGTCCCTAGTTCCTCAAAATCCTTGACAACGTTGCTTAGAAATTTTGGTTCAAAACCTCATCTGATTTTAATCTGTTATGCTACCTGTTAAGTTTCGCGAGATTATAAATGTCATGGAGTTATATAAAAAGGAGGGACAGCTAGGGACACTGGAAGTACTTGTAAGGCTATCTGTTAAGATTGCATGAAATACTAAAAGTCATGAAATCCATTATCGCTGTGCTAGCTTCACCTTTGATTGAAATGACGACTAAAGTCACTGAAGCAATGAAACAAAAGTTTTTGGTAGAATACATTAAATCAGGAATTATTCCAGAAGGTTTTTACATTCATACTATGAAGGATGGTAGAGTTCAGTTTAGAAAGATAAAGCAACCATTAGATAAAGAAGGAATTTTGAGAAAGATTAAACTTCATGAGGACAACATTGCTGAACTTAAGAAGAAGCTAGAAGAGTTGGAGAAAGCAGACGACAGTGAGGAATAAAGCAATGAATTCAACAGGTTAGAAAAGAGGTTAGAAAACGTGTTAGATCTAACATTCTAACATAAACATTATTTTTGTGCTATGTTTTCATACGTGTGCGGGTGGTGATATCATTTATTTTTAAGTTTATTTTTTATAAATGACAGAACAAAAGCAACTCATACAAATCAAAACATATAACAAACATACATTTAAACATTTATTCTTCCTTCCTGAGCATAACATGTTCTTTCAAATACATCCGAGACCAGTTGACTTTTCATTGACTGTTTATAAAGATAGAAATAGTTATATCATTAAACCATACGATGACGAAGGTAAGTTATGTAAATTGTACGTTAAGAAGTTAGAGAAAGTTTATGGCTTCAAGTATGACTACAATAGGGTTAACACTGATGATGAAGATATTGAGGAAAATTTATGAGAACATTAGTGAAGTTGTTAGTGAGAACGATAGTGAGTTCGTTTATTTTTACATTAGTGAGTTCGTTAGTGAAGTGGTTGGCGGCTTTGTAAATATTTAAGGTTAAATTAGTGTTGTCGTTTGTGTTGTAAAATTTACGTTAACGGTTTTGTAAATATTTAAGGTTAAATTAGTGTTGTCGTTTGTGTTGTAAAATTTACGTTAACGGTTTTGTAAATATTTAAGGTTAAATTAGTGTTGTAGTTTGTGTTGTAAAATTTACGTTAACGGTTTTGTAAATATTTAAGGTTAAGTTGTGTTGTCGTTTGTGTTGTAAAATTTACGTTAACGGTTTTGTAAATATTTAAGGTTAAATTAGTGTTGTCGTTTGTGTTGTAAAATTTACGTTAACGGTTTTGTAAATATTTAAGGTTAAATTAGTGTTGTCGTTTGTGTTGTAAAATTTACGTTAACGGTTTTGTAAATATTTAAGGTTAAGTTGTGTTGTCGTTTGTGTTGTAAAATTTACGTTAACGGTTTTGTAAATATTTAAGGTTAAGTTGTGTTGTCGTTTGTGTTGTAAAATTTACGTTAACGGTTTTGTAAATATTTAAGGTTAAATTAGTGTTGTCGTTTGTGTTGTAAAATTTACGTTAACGGTTTTGTAAATATTTAAGGTTAAATTAGTGTTGTCGTTTGTGTTGTAAAATTTACGTTAACGGTTTTGTAAATATTTAAGGTTAAATTAGTGTTGTCGTTTGTGTTGTAAAATTTACGTTAACGGTTTTGTAAATATTTAAGGTTAAATTAGTGTTGTCGTTTCTGTTGTAAAATTTACGTTAACGGTTTTGTAAAGTGTCAAATTCACAAGTATTGGATAAAGTGAAAACGCAGTGCCACCATACCCAACTTAACCATACTAACTTTTATTTATCCTCTTACTGTTCATGATGCTATTCTTTTGCGAGTTCCATGGACAATTAAATCGCCAATATGATCGTGTTCACCCTGCAGATGCTCAAGACCTACTCAAAACTACTTAAACATTTCAAAAATTTTTTATTTACAATCATGATTTTTTCCCTGAAAGAGATTGGGACAAAGTTGCAATTCGGCACTTTTTGTAAAAAAAATGGGGTCATACTCATAATGAATAGAGACTTATAGCCAAGTCTTGATATCATGCAGGGAGAATATACATAGATAAGCAATTATATTTTATAGTAGTAGTATTCAGAAATTCTTACAATTTACAATACAATTTTCAAAAATGGATAAAGACTAATAGCCAAGTCTTGATATCATGCAGGGAGAATATACATAGATAAGCAATTATATTTTATAGTAGTAGTATTCAGAAATTCTTACAATTTACAATACAATTTTCAAAAATGGATAAAGACTTATAGCCAAGTCTTGATATCATGCAGGGAGACTCTCTACAAATACAAAAATTGATTATCATAAGGAAATACAAATTTATCAATTTTCATGTGAAAATTACATAAATTTGTTCTCCAATAAATAGCAATAATACTTTGAATGTTATATTAAGTAATATAGCTTCAGGTAAATAAGCTTACACTTCAAAAATATACTGTTTATTCATTAATTTTAAAAAAAGTCCAAATTATCTAATCTTGCTTACTCTTCCTTTAAACTTCTTTGTGCCAAATTTAATATTGCCTTCAAAGATGGAATAAGGACATTAGGTTCAATCCTTCGGCTTTCGACAATTTCCAAAATGTGTTGAATTAATTTCAAACATTCATCGTGTTTTGAAGCTCTTTGCTCAACAATCTGATTACCTGCCCTTGTAAGAATTCTTACTGCTCTATCTTCATTCAAAACATTAGCGACTTGAACCTTAATAATCGCATTTGGAATCACAACAGTGATGAGAGTTATGACGATATAAAAAAATATTTTATTATACTCATTCGAAATTAAAAATAATAAAATTTATATATATTAATTTCATTAAATCAAGGTTAAAAATCTCACCGGAAAAATAACCTCAGTGTGATAAATTTATCACCGGAAAAATTTACAATAAGGTTAATACCGAAAATATCGAAAAATCAACATTTAAGGTTAATTTAAGAGTATGCACTTTTGTCACCTACTCTTTCCCTGAAATTTTTTATAAAAATATCAAATAAAAATTAGGAATTTTAAAAGAAATTTTAAAATTTAGGATAAATCAAAGAAAATCAAGTTAATGAGGTACCACAAAAGAAAATTGTTTTTCAAATTTTGAAATTAGATTTTCAATATTTCGATATGCAGCCAACATTAAATAGCATACCCTATGTTATTTAAAGCTATCCATAAGCATGTATATATGTTCACCAGCACATCCTGGATTTTCCTTTGATAATAATTATTATTAGTAATTATTCTATGTTACAATATAAATAATACTTTAAAAGGCAGCCTAGAGTATTAATCTACATATCTATCTTTCATATTTATTTGATTAGACTTGTGGTGTTCGCAAATATACTGCATAAGAATTCATATGATCATATTTTTAAGTTTGCACAGTTTCTCACTAAGTGATATTAGCAAAGCTTTTTATTACAACTAAATTTTCCCCATGTTGGAAATTTTATGATTTTTTTTTCTGTGAACTTTATGAATTTCTCAGATTACTTTATCAACACTATTGAAAATCAAGCCCCATCCAACGAATCACTTGAACTGCTCGCAAAATTTATGAATGATGATCCTCTAGAATACGCTTCAAATCTACTTTCAATAGCAATTAATGGTGATTTCGAAGACAAGATTAAAATCAATGCAATTAAAGCATTACCTGCTCCAATTAGATTGATCAATTCAAAAAATCTGCCTTTGAACACAGAGTTCAATATTTACGAACAAATTTACATTACACTTGAACCACATTTACATAGGAATGACTAAATAGGAAATACATGTCGTTCTTCTCTTATAGAATGCTTTGCAAAAGCAAAAACAAGAGATTTCAAAATATTTTTTTCAAGATTCTTTCAAAATATAAACGAAAACTCAGACATTCCATTTATGTTAGGTATTATTTTGGAAATGCTCAGTAAATCTTATGTTTCTCTCCCTAATTTTGTAATTTTTACCGGATGAAACAGGAGTGATAACAGTTATCACATCATTTTTCGAAACTTTTGCTGTATTTCTGCCGAATTTCGATGAAAAGAAAATACCAGGTTTCGATATTCTATCATTTGTTTCTGTTTCATCATTGCTTTGGTTTGTTTCATTTTGATTTAGTATTGATTCTGTTTCCTTGTCCTTTCCTGGAAAATCAAATTTACCAGAAACATATCTTTGTGTTGTGCTTGAAATACCAACATGACCATATGGATTGCCTTCACCAACTTTATACTCAATAATGAATGATTTTTTGTCATTTAGTGTTGTGAAAACATCTTTAATAATAACAGGATTCGATCCCATTGAAAACGAATCATAATATGAAAATGAATTCAAATTAGATGTCTTTGGGTCTTTGAATAAAACTGATGTCATTTCACCTGTTCCCAAATGGATGATACAGTATTTACTATTTTCCTTTGTATTTGCGTTTGTGAAAAATAATTCACTGAAATAATTTATAGTGTAATGAACTATACAATCTTTAGCTAATTGAAAAACTGTGAATTCGATGTTGTATTCCCCACTGAAAACCGAGATAAATCCAGGATTTGTAATACTAATTGAAATGGTTTTACTTGATGATTCATTAATGTATTGTATTGAATGAAAGATAACAAATGTGTTAAATTTATCCAATTTGGCAAATTTGATTGTTGTCACTTCATAATTCTTCAGATCAAATGAGTTATATCCTAATTGTGAAACAAAAAGCTGACGAACAAGAGATTTTCCTTCAAATAAATGATTGAATCCATCAATATGATATATTTTTGGTTGTAATGAACTGTCCTTTTGCCCAAATAAAACTTCACAATAAGGGAAATAGCAATCACCACTAGTAATGATCTTTATCATTGAATAGAACTTTTGTTTATATGTTGTTGAACTTATCTCAAATGATTCTTCCATGTTAAATGATTTAGAGAAAAGCAAGCTGTAAGTTGAATCGGAATAATCATACTTCTTTAACGTAATTGAGCTCTCTTCGCTAGTTAATGTTGCAATGCAATACATCTTATTTGGTTTGTAGTGGAGTGGATCAACTGTGAAACGGTTGCCGTATTGATTAAAAAGTAAATCGACTGTATCACAATTTTTGTCCATTTTCAGATGATAGATTGTATCACTGTAATAATCCGAAACTGATTTGATGACAAATGTTTTGTCGAAATGAATAAGTTTCAAAATTGGAGAGTGGTCGCATTTCATGAGACTTTTTTCATCATTGAAGTAAAGGAAATGATTATATTTATCATCTTGTTCATAAGTTATAGCAAGTGTGCTAAATGGTGAATTTCTGTATGAGTTAGGACCATAAATCGAATTTGACGTTGTTGATACTTTGACTGGATCAATGAATCCATCAAATTTATGAGCTTCATCAAGAGATAAGATTGTGTCAAAAGATTGATAATTTGATGAAAAGTAGCCAATATCATATATTCCAACAATTCCAGATCTCATTGTTGAAGATGAAATATATTCAACTATGAGACAGTCGGTCCTAAAAGTTTTCAGTGTATCAGTGATCACTGTTTTATTGCATCCGTATATGTATGATTCATATACATTAAATGTTTCATCATTCGGAAACGCTGGTGTTCGAATTACTTGTTTTTCACTAATATCAAACCCTCCAAACAAAACTAAAACATGTTTCTTATTTGGCTCAACAACTGATGTATTCCAGTAAACTTGACTATATTTAGGCTTGAAACAGAAATCATATGAATAATCACCATCTGGGAGAACTAAAAGAAAGAAATTAATTGATGATTCTTGAGTTTCGACACCAAGAGTTTCATTTAATTCTGAAATAATTCCTCTTTTGTTGCCTTTAATTAAATAAACATCTGGCTGGGTGTTAAACACAACAAAAACTTTTGTTATATACGAAAACGATAAAAACAGTTTGACAGAAAAGTGACAACTTGACGTGTCAAAAATATAAAAAGTGATATTTTATTCATCATTATCTTCTTCATAATTTATTTCATATTCTTCGTCTTACCAACAAAAGATGGGAATGTGAACAATTGCGGGCAATTTTTAGCCATTTTGGCTTGGAACTAGAGCCTGCGAGGTACATGGATAGTATCAGTACCTCACAGGCTCTAGTTCTCTATATGGCGCCGAGAAATTTTGGTGAAATGTGGTCGCATTTCACCAAAATTTTTTCGGCGCCATAGGATGAATTGGAGGGTGAGAGATATTATTTCATACAATACTACTCTCACCCTCCAATTCCCAGCCAAAATGGCTAAAAATTGCCCGCAATGTGAACAATTGCGGGCAATTTTTAGCCATTTTGGCTTGGAACTAGAGCCTGCGAGGTACATGGATAGTATCAGTACCTCACAGGCTCTAGTTCTCTATATGGCGCCGAGAAATTTTGGTGAAATGTGGTCGCATTTCACCAAAATTTTTTCGGCGCCATAGGATGAATTGGAGGGTGAGAGATATTATTTCATACAATACTACTCTCACCCTCCAATTCCCAGCCAAAATGGCTAAAAATTGCCCGCAATTGTTCACATTGCGGGCAATTTTTAGCCATTTTGGCTTGGAACTAGAGCCTGCGAGGTACATGGATAGTATCAGTACCTCACAGGCTCTAGTTCTCTATATGGCGCCGAGAAATTTTGGTGAAATGTGGTCGCATTTCACCAAAATTTTTTCGGCGCCATAGGATGAATTGGAGGGTGAGAGATATTATTTCATACAATACTACTCTCACCCTCAATTTTAATTACTTAAACTCATTCTATTTTTTTGACATGTAAATGTCACTTTTACTGAGATCTGACACAATGTCAGATCTCTTTTTTTCGTATATAAGACTTTGAATCCATTTTCTATTGGATATATAATTTTTGTCTTTGATAATGAGACACTATTATATCCTGGATGAGCAATATAATAATTTTCGCCAATTTCTTGCAATTGTTTGCTTTCTGAGTAAATATTGTTAGTGTTTGATATAAACTCATTTCCAATTAAAGGAATCTCTTTGATCATGATATTTGTCTCGTTATTTGATGAAAATTCGATGTATTGAAATGTTTGTTTTTTGTATTCTTTGATTTTATAAACTTTAGTAACCTGATCTTCTGTATAAAACATCATAGTTGCTTCCTTAGTCGAAATCATTGATATGCAATGCTTTTTATTTGGCTCTGCCATCATGAAATATTGTTTACCTATTTTATCACTCACCATGTTGAATGTGTAACAATCATTGTTAAATTTTGAAAAATAATAGCTTATTTTACTATTTACTGCAGTGGTTTGAATGTAAACAATTTTTTTGTTTCTTAGATTTTGTTTTAATAAATTTTTATAAAATTCTTTCAGTGAACTTGTCGATTTGAAGTTAAGAATCATATTTTGATATTTTTTGGGTTTTGATAATAGAATTACAAGTTCGTCATTTTGAATTTCAATTTCGTTAAATCCTTCTTTTGATTCATGCATTTTTGATTTTGGGAATGTAATGATTTCGAATTGTTTGTTAAAGATTCCGCTTGAGAATTCTTCAGGATTTGATTCCATTGTCTCAATATTGGCGACACCAACAAGTGAATTGATTTGCCCAGGATTGTTGATACGAAGAGTGACACCTTGTTCGATTGAATTAGATCTATAATTCATGTAATTGTCTCCATATTGGGTGAAGTTATCATCTAGAGGATTGATAACATTCCCTTTAATTTTGGAGTATGAAACAAAGTGCATGCAAATCAAGCCATCTGTCTGTTGAAGATTAACAAAGTATGATTGACTATTACCATTGATGATATACGAATTTTTGCAGCGTTTATCAACTAGAATCAATTTGAAATATAAGGTGTGATATCCTGATGAAGATCGAACAATCAATGGTCGCCGAGTATTGTAGACTTCATTTTGATTTATAAAATACTGTTTGTTAAAGATGATAATTGTAGAATCGAATCCGTATTTCGTGGGGAAGTCAATGATTGTATCTTCTGTGCTAGAAATGTTCAATGAATGTTTGCCAAAACTGGCAATAAATAGATTCTTCACCTGGACATTAGAGGGGCGTGCAATGATTCCGAACAATCCTGCTGTCAAACCATCTGTTGAAACCCAAGATGATGAAAATTTGCAACTGTAAACACCAAACTTACCTGAATAGTATTGATTATGTTTACAAACTAATGAAAACTTGGAATGCGAAATATTATAAATTCTGTCATTTCCAATATCGATGTATATAGGTTTTTGATTGATATCTCTGATATAAAAAGGGTCATTTACCTCCATGTCAGAACTGTAGTATAATGTATAATCCATCTCATATTTCGATGCTAGAATGAGGCAATTTTTTCGATATGAGATATCTGGTGTATGGAAAAATGCTTGATTGCCTGCAGCGTTGACCATAGCACTAATTGTCTGGCACTCGTCTTTAGTATCCATAACATAAAACTCAAGGGTAACTGACTCGATTGGTTTCAGACCTATATATCTATTGTTATTAAGGGCGAGAAATTCCTCCAGTTTCTGACCATTCTCATAGAAAACATTCTGCGTGTCAACGAATATCGCATACACTTTTTGACCATCTGGAAATACGATGTATGTGAATAAATTGCTATTAAGTTCTATTGAGTTGTAACCAAACTCAGCCTTATATTCATTCGGAAGCCATCTTTCTTCGATCACATTTACATCTGTTCGCCAGAAGTCACTGTAAACTGGTTCGTCACTTATCTTCCCGAAACTTTTAACAGCAACAATTGGGGGTAAATTGCTTTCGTTTTTATCATAGTATAGGTATAAGTTATTCCAATTTATAATTGTTAAAGTTTCACCTAGAACTTCCTCTCTTGAGTTATAAATGTTAGGGTTCTCGGCAAATACCCTTCCTGGTGTAAACTTGCCCTTGTATATTGTGAAGCTATGCTTGGAATTAGAACCAAAGAACATGCAATGACGTTTATTGCTTTGAACACCTAGTGGATTAAATAAGATTGATTTTGAAGAATTTCCGTTAATTTGGAAATAATCATAAGAATTACAGTCCAATGGAGTTTGCATAACCATCCATCTTAATGTTCCTCCCGTGGATTTTGCAGTTATAATTTGGGGATTAACAAGCATCTTTGGAATTGGATTATCTGAAGGCATTGTAAATTCATTTTGGTTATAAAAAATGACAACATTATGATGATATCTTGATGCACCATCAAAAGTTATTCTAGTAAGATGACTTACCCATCTAGAAATCTCTGGATAAAAAGCAAATGTGAGGAGAAAAATGAACATATAATGAATTATTACTGAAATTATCTAGGTTTAAAAATTTAATGGAAAATTTTTCGATATTAGTATTGAATCGAAAGTCGTAATTCTGTTTTTGTTTAGTAAAACTGAAATTTTGTTTAATATTTGTATATTGTTCAATGTTGACTTTATTTAAGGGTTTCATTTTGCTAAAATTGTCACTTTTATAGCATATTTGTTTTTGGATGTTTTGCGAAACCAAAAAAACTATGATATACAATGTGTGTGTAAAGAAAATACTTTATTTACTAGTTAAAAAATCATTTGGTATTGATCAAGTTATTTTTTCTGGATAAGATATTATATGGATAATTGGATAGAAAATACAATTATATAATCTTGTACCTGGTTTAATTAAGCTAATTGTCATCAGAAACTTGTAATTTTTATGAATTTCAGATTTTCTTTTCATTACTGCTTTTCTTAATAGGTCAAGTTCTTATTTACGTTATAAAGTATGATATTTACAAATATCAAGTTATCATGTTTTTTGAGAAATTATGAGAAACAAACAAAAATGAAAAAGATAGGAATAGCAATGAATAGTGATGTGGGTATAGAAAATGTAAGAGATATGAATGCAAAGCAATCAGTATTTAGGATATTGACCATAGATTTCGAAAAAAAAATGCTGCATATTGAGCGAAAACTATGATTATATTATAAGGCTGTCATTTAAAGCATAATGAAACTATTCCCTTTTCATTTTAATCGAATAAGATAGTAAAGATTTTTGAATTAGCTAGAAACTGATGAGATGTTTTCACAAATCAGATTTTTAATCTCTATAATGCATAATTCACTCAATATCTCAATTTTGATATTGCGAGATATTTTTGCTATCGGTTTCGCAATTTTGACACAATAGCAAGAGGGTTCTATAAGCATTATTATCAACGTAGAATCTGAATATCATATCAGAAAATGTCGCAAATCTGACATTTACCCGACCAAATAGCAAAAATAATTGAATACTTTTCGCAAAAACTTTAAAAATCGATAAAAATATGAAATATAGATATTAAAGAGACTTTTTATATAATATTCATAAAGATTTTCCAAAAATATGATACCGCAAAATTAAAAAAGTGACGTCTTGAGTGGAGTCAAAGGTCGAAATTGCTAGCTAAATGTTTTTTAGCGAAATTGCGTATTGTACGTTTTTTTCGCAAAACGAAACCCTTACTTTATTAATTATCCAGTATTTTTATCAACGAATTTTGACGACTTTTGTAGTAGTAGTAGAAGCATTGAAAAAAAAAATGAACAAATAAATTATAATATTTTATTAAAAAAACAAAAGATAAATATATATATATAAAACAAAAGAACAAATATAAAAATATTAACAAAATCCAGTTAAACTCTTCAAACTAGATGAAGCCTTTGATATTCTTCTAGACTTATCCTCATCGAATTCTACGAAATTCTTGATGTCAACGAGCCAGTCAACCTGTTTCTTTCCTTGGTCAGACATGATCAAATCATCATCCAAAATCGTGTCAGGAACATTTAACTTCACAAAAATGTTTTCTGATGTCGAAGTAGTGCTCTGAGACATTCTCGCGCTTATTCCTTTGATGAATGTCATCGAGGCCTCCTTCATGATCTTCACCCACTTCTCAACCTTCTTGAACTGATTAACTTGCACTTCTGTGGTGCTTTTTATTGCGCAAACCATTTTACTTTGTGTTGAGAAAGGCAAAATCGATGATTTGGAGTCTTTCGACAGCAAGTTCGATGCAGAATCCAAGTGTTCGCAGTTAGTTAATGTAACTGTTTGGTCGTGTTCCTCAAACAAGTGGCCAAGTTTCTGGATAAGCTCTGTAGAAGCGTCAATCCATTTAATTTGTCCCCTGGCGACGTTGTTTGGTATATCTGGGTCGATCTTGGAGATCATGCATATGAAATCAACGGCTTCTTGCATGGTTGTGAGTTTCTCAAGTGCGGAATTAAATATTACATTTAATGCTTGCTTATTTAGTTCCGAACTGAGCTGTTCCTTGACGCTTTCTGAGATATGGCTCTCTTTAGATGCCAATTTCTCATGAGTTTCCAAGGAAGAAGACTCCATTTGTTTCGGATCGAGGTGTTTCGTGACTTTGAGGAAGTCTTGGAGCTGGCCACGCTCGGAAATATAGTTCTGAAGCAGTTTCGAGGCAACAACAAAGATTCTTCGCTTCAAATCTGTTGATGCGTTTGTAACCATCAAAGCGAAGTGTCCGATTGCGAGATCTCGCTCTTTGAAGTTGGATTTCTTGATGAGATCATCGATTTCTTCGTCTTTGTGGTGTTTCAAAACGATCATAACGAAATCATAATCTTTTGTATGTTCGTTCTTCAAGAAATTCTCGAAATCTTTCATGGCTTTGCTGTCTGACTCGAGTTCATTGAAAATTGGTCGGATTGCATTTAAGGCTAATTCAGAAATGTGTTCATTGAAAATTGGCACTTTTTCTTTTTCCATACATTTCATGAAAAGTGGAAGCATTGAGTCGAAATAAGCATCTACGGCCACAACGAAGTCGAAATAGACTGAGAGATATTTGAAAGCGAAATCTCTGTCTAAGTCGAAGTGGTTGTTAAAGAGTTTGAACGTTTCGTTGATGAAATCGTAAGTTGCTTTGTCAACATCAGTAATTTCTTGAAGGAAATGGGAGACTGACCGGCAAATACCATAAAACAAGTCTGTTGGATTGGTATTAGGGTACTTTGTCTGTATTTCATTCAAAATTACTAAAGATGTATAAGCATTTCTCAACAATTTCGAGCCAACAACCCATCTGGTAGCTTCCATAGCCCATTCCTCGATCTGCCGTTGCTTGTTATCCATCTCCATCTTCTTAATAATGATAGAAACAACTTTTCTCAATTTATCGCCTGAAAGTGTCCTCCGAGAAAACGTGAATTTGTACTCCTTACATATCCTCTTGAACAGCGATTGCGCTTGGCTCGAGTGGAAAAGCAGAGCATACTGAATTATGACTGGCATATGGGGCTGGCACTTGTCTGGGTAGTTTTTGACGGCCTTGGCGAGTACCTGAACATACCAGTTATCATCATCGTAGTTTAAATTGCGTTGGTAAGTTACATATGCGTAATAAGAAAATTTACAGCGCTGAACTAAGAAAGCGATGAGTTCGTCTTGCAGATATAGCTTCGGGAGTAACTGCATGAACATATTCTTCTTCAATTCTGGGTCTTTGAACACGTCATTATCTGCTAAATAATAAATAATTGATTCTCTGTGATCTCCTGATCTGAGAAGGCATCTCCAGAGTTTTACGATATATTCGAACTGTCTTTTCATCTTTTTGGTTACTTCTGTCAGCAAATCTAAGAATTTTGCCGGAGACATTCGATTTACAACGATCATGTTGTTCGGAATGCAGCTTGTTGAGTTGGGAAGGAGTCTAAACTGTTTAATCCATGGTTTGAGCACGATAACTAAGTATTTAGTGTTTCCTGGGAAGTTATCTTTAATCATCAGTTGTAAACCCTTCTGAACAATGGATTCTGCCTTCTTCAGGAAGTATTTAGGCAATAAATCGATGATTACATCATCAGAAACGTCGTTTTTCTCCTCATTTTGTTGAATTTCTTTTTGAAATGCGGTCAAAAGCTTCTTAGAGAAGACTTTTAAGTATAATTTCGCGAGATTAGTAAGGAAGTCAGGTGCAATGAGGTTGTTGACCTTGACTTTGTACATTCCAAGCAAAAATAAAATATCAATTTTTTTGAAAATGAATTCAAAGTAAGGATCGCTAGCGAAATTGTCATTGTCTTCAGATACAGCGAGAACTTTACGGCACAAAGCTGAGAAATAGTAATCACTCAAGTCAGTTTCTTCATAAGATGCGTGGACATAATGATCAAAGAACTGGGAAACGTTGTTTTCGACAATATGCTGCAAGACCTTGAAGTCATGCTCTTCGGCCCATATCATTTGTTTGAAGATATGATCTTGGATATTAATTCCTTTGAAAGGAGGAAGCTTAACCAGGGCTATTAGAGCCTGCGACGAGTATAGTTTGAGTTTCTCCGATGATGTGTTACTCAAAATCGACGTTAAAAGCTCTAAAACCCGTAATTTTCGGTCAGCATTCCAAATTTCTTCATTTATCTTCTTGTCATCTGTATCTAGCCAGAAGTAAAGGATTGTTAGATAGCAGAGCATGAAGTTCTGGTTGTTGAGAAGTTGGTTTTGACTGGTTTGGTTCAATAATAAATTTTCAATTTTTGTAAGTATGGTTAGAACGTTATCTAGGACAAGCAATCTGATATCATCGATTTCTTCGATCGTTCTGAGCAGTATGCTTGAGATCTTGGCCACTTGGACAATGTATTTATCAGAAAATTTGCATAATTGCTGGAAAATGTTAGGAATGATCTTTGTATGGGAGTGTTTCAACACATAGAAGTATTGCTCCATATGATCAATGTCTTTGAAAACAATTCTTTGGATATCTGCAAAATTTTCATTTTTCGAACAAGAACTCAACATAATGACTAACAAACCAACGGAGAAGTGATGGTACTCGTTGAGATTGAAGTCGGCTACGAATTTCTTCAATCTGGAGTATAGAACCGACTCAGCGAAATATCTTCCAAATTCTGCTAAGAAATAGAGCCATGGATTCTGGTATGGACTTAAAAGGGCATCCTTAAGATGTAATTCAAGTTCTTGGTATTCTTGTGTTCCTGGACGTTCAGGAAATTGAGAGAGTAAAATTGAATGTTTTACATTGGATTCAATGGTTGACGTATCGGTTTCAATGTGAGTCATAATTCCTTCATTTCTACGGAGTTTATTAACGATATTGAGCAAATTGTAAGCTTTGTCACGAACTTCTGGGTGCTCGCTTGCCAAACTAATGAATGCTGTGAATTCTAACTGGTAAGCGAGTTCATGAAAATTCGTATCGTTTTCTTTTGGCTCTTGGCCATCAGCCGCGTAGCACAAAAGGTGTAAACATACCCATACAATCTCGGGAGCTGCTTTAAATGTAACTATTTCAGCGACATGTTTACAAAGATCGACATAAAGGTCAGGAATGTCAAGATTTTCTTCTACGATACGCGTGGCTGGTATAGATATATTACTGTTACCGCAAGCTGCAAGTTCAATGAGTAATGTGACCCAATCTGAGATTTTTCCACTACTATTTATGATGTAAGGTATGATATCCATCATTTCGCTATCAGCATCATCGATTACTTCACCTTTAGTGTCGTTCTTCAGCTTCATTGTTAAAGGACCAGGTTCTACGTTCCATCTTTGGAACAAAACATCAACGGCTCGCCTGGCCGTGTCTACAGAATCATATTTGAGCTCAATACCGTACCCTTTGTACTTCAAAACGCTGACTCTCAGCTTCATATAGACAACATCAGCGATTTCTTTGTTGAAACTCTTCAGATACTGCGAATCTTGGCTTTTCAGCTGTCTGTAATGATCGTTTATGATAGGAACTATACGTAAAAAGTAAGTTAATTTTTCTGAATCTTGTTCTGAAGCTTTTAGGATTGGTTTTGTGACCAATTCGTTAAACAGTTTGAAATTACGTTGCGTTAAAATGATAATCATGTGTCTAATTTGAGAAATTGCCGTATTAAAATATTTTGAACCGAAAATAAACTCCATGAACTTCTTTGTTAAGTATTCGTCCTGCTCAGACTTATCTGCATTAACTGTTGGGTTCGTTTCTGCAGGAATATTGCCCCAAACCTGTAATTCCGGATCATAATCTTTTCCGACAAGGAGTAAATAGAAAGTTCGTATGACAACTTTGAAGCCTTCGAGCTCATTGTAAAGTTTAAATACGTAATCTTCGAAGAATTTGCAGATTTCGCTGAATTGTTTATCTTGTTGGAATAATAAGCAGCAATAAAGCTCGATTGCACCGTATTTGAGGTTTGGATTTTCTAAATTTGCGTTTGCAATCTGTTGATACTTCTTAATTATCTCAGGTTGGCCATCTAAAGTTAATAAAAGCGTAGAAACAGCTGCTAGCATCCTAGAAGTCAAAGATTTCTTCTTTCTACCTCTATCTATGTAGTCGAAAAGGATTTCTATGAGGTCTATCGCACTAGTTTGGTTGCATTTGAGATTTACGTATTGAAGAAGGATAAAATAGTTCTCGGGCTTGTTAACCATCATTTTGGAGAACGAATCAATGATTAAATTTAGGTTTTGTTTCGACATAATGGACATAATTAAAGACCATTGGGGAAATAAAGCTTGTAGAAGGTATATATTGTTTGTACCTTGTTGTGTTGAGAATGCACATACTCTGTAGGCTGCTTGGATCATGACACTATGCGATGCTTCCCTAGAATCTAATTTAAAAATTTGATGAACGAGGTCTGTGTAGAATATTATTTGAAATAACTTAATGAACTCGACGTGGTTTGGATTTGTCTTTTCATATTCAACGAGATTGTCAAGAATTTGCTTGAAAATTTTGGTTTTTCCGATTTGAAAAACTTGAAGTAAGCTCGTGCAAAGATATTGAAGAATAATTGGTGTATCAAAAATGGCTATCTGCGATAATGATGATATAATATCTTTATAATATTGATTTTGCCGCGGAAATTCTTCTAAAATTCCACCAAGTGATTCTTTTTTTAAGTTATTAAACTCTTCACGTAAAACAGGCCGAAATTGTTCTAAAGTCCTCGAAAGAACTGTACTGAAAAACAAATTGGCAGAGTTCATGTTTGAATAATTGTTCATAATAAAAAATTGTTCTAAAAAGTGACAAAGATTTTGATACCAAAAGACTAGATCATCAAAATAATATTTAAATATTTATGCACATCTTGAATATCTATTAAAAATCAAATAAAATTATGTTTTAATTAAAATTTCAAACAATTGCTGTGATATGTACAATTTAGAGCATCTGTATGCTTACTAATAAAAACAGATAATCATATAAGTTCAGTAAGATCCTTTCAAACTTTGAATATGTACTAAATCTTTTTGAATTATGACAATAATTCAAAAATATCTTAAATACAAGCAATCATATCAAAAATTATTGAGAATACATATTATTCGAATCCATTTTTCAACATTTTTTTCAATGAGTGTTCAAAATGTTTTTGGCTATGTTACTGGGTGGGTTCAAAATGTTATGTTCCGTCAAACTTTGATGCGTGCAGCCATCAAAAGAGGAATTATCGCAGGTGCAACTAATAATAAAAATGATCATTATCGAGTTGATTTCTCAATGAAAGGACCAGAGCCAAAAATTAACGAACTACTTAATGAGATAAAATCAGGAAAAGTCCTAAACTCTTGGGGCGCAAGAGCTTTAGATGTCAAAATTACTGATTCTGGTAAAGATCCGCTTGAGCATAAAGTTAATACCACTACTGTTGACACATTTAACTGGGACAAAGATGTTGAGTTTTATTTATAAAAATATGTTTTGTATTATTAAAATATGTTATTGTACAGAATGATATGTTCAAATATATTTTAAATTAAATAAATCTAATATATGAACTTATTTCCAACACGAATTCTCATATTTAATCAATAATTAAAAGTTAATTTGTTCCATATATCATTTAACTATATCACAAGCATTTCAACGGCTATGTGCGATAATTGGATGCTACAAGTTTATATATTCTCAACAGATATACTTTCTGATTTAGTTATCATGCATTCATATGATAACTAAATGGAATTATCTATGGAATGGAATTGCAAAGAATTCATTTTCATTACAGAATTAATCACAGCTTCATATTGACTAATCGAACAATGTAAATTATTGGATATATCAGTGAAATAAGATTATTTGAATTAGATATGATACTACTCTTGGTATTTTTGATCAACAAAAGCTTAAATGAAAAATTTTTCTTGACTTTCGAGACTTGTCAATTTTTCGACTTTCCATTCAATTTTTTTAATATACAAATGGAGAAAAATCGTCTTTCTTCATTTGAACTCATAAACATATATAGAGATTACATTGATGCAAGCAACAGCATATTTAGGCTTGATACATTTGAACCAGCAGCAATTAAAGAAATTTATTTAACAATTAAAAATACATTAATAAAAAAGTATGAAATTTCAATCATTCGTATTCTGGAGATCATAGATTATGCATGTGCCTACAGAGATCGTTATTTAGAAGCATATCTCCAATTAATTCAAAATTTTCTTCAAGATGTTGAATCTCCCGATTTCAATCCATTTAGATATACATTAAATATAGAAAAACTAATGATTTATATCAAAGATTCTCCTTATTATCAATTTTTCTCTAAATTTTATCAAAAACCTCACAAATTCGATCAAAATCATTCTCACAATAAAGGATCATTCCTTAATTGTATTATGAACGATGACATCCAATCATTTATCACTCGTGTTGAAAATGATGAAAAACTTCTCAATTTCAGATGGAGGCATGATTTGATTGGAAATTTAACAGTTATGGAATGGTGCAGTTATTATGGTTCTGAAAAGATATTTATGTATATTCTTAATGAAACCAAATCAGATATTTCAGATCAATGTGGGCAATTAAGTTTTCTTGGAGGAAATCCTACCATTGTGAATCAATCGTTAAAAGATGTAGATCCAAGTGATTTGTCAATGGAATATGCAGTTATTTCGCATAACTCAGATTTCATTGTTTATTTGCAGAATGAAAATTGCAAAATCAATCCAAAATTTTGTCTTCAGAGCTCAAATTTATTTGGTCTCATTCTTTATCATGAACAAAGCAAGAATCATAATGAATTTTATGTCGATCTAACATATTTTGGATTAAATTTAATGTTTACTGATTATGAATTTCAACAAGAAATGGTTTCTGTAAAGAATTGTGAAGGTAAAACAGTGTTGCATTACTTTACAATTGCAAATAATGTCATTTTACTTCAAACAATGATTGATCTTAATATCGACATTAATGCAAAAGATGATTTTAATTGGTCAGCATTGCATTATGCCACAAAGTATAATTGCATTGATGCTGTAAACATTCTTTTAGATAATAAAGCGATTGTAAATATTGAAGATGGTGATAGATTTAGACCTCTTCATAAAGCAGCAGAATATAACAATACTGAAATATTATCAATACTTATTGATCATGGTGCAAGTATTCATGACAAAAATAATTATTTGGAAATCCCTTTGCATTGTGCTGTAAGATCAAATAGTATAGAATCAGTAGCAATTTTGCTTGATAATGGTTCCGATGTTAATTCCACAAATTTGCCTCTGGCAACTCCATTAGAATTAGCTGTAGATTTTGACCTTGTTGATATTGCAACTCTTCTCATTGATTTTGGTGCAGATGCTAATGCAACTAATAAATTCCAGAGAACCTCATTAATTTTCCAAGCTGTCATGAATAATTCTATCAATATGTTAGATTTACTGGTCGACAATGGTGCAGATATTAATGCATTGCGTAATGATCTTTCAACTCCACTTCATCTTGCAGCCGAATATAATTCAACTGAATGTGCGATTGATTTGGTACAAAAAGGTGCAAATATTGAAGCTAAGCAATGCCAAGGTATAACACCACTTTGCATTGCAGTTAGTAAATCAAGAGAAACTGCTATTGCACTTATCGAACTTGGAGCAGATGTCAATGCTGTTGGTGCTGGCCAATGCCCAATACTTAATATAGCATGTTCATGCGCCTTGAAAGATATTGCTCCTCTACTTATATCTAAAGGTGCCGATGTAAATGCAACAGATCCATCAAATAATAACGCAATTCACGCGGCTGCAGCTGCTAACAATGTTGAAGCTATTTCGTGTTTGCTAGAACATGGCGTTGATATAAATATTTTAGGCTATAAATTATTAACCCCACTTTATATGGCTGTAATGCATGGAGCTTATGATGCGACAAAATTCCTTTTAGAGCATAGTGCTGACATTAATATCAGATACAATACATTTACTGTGTTACACATGGCAATAACTATCAATGCTAAATTGCCTATAGTCGATCTTTTAATTGCATTTGGTGCTGATATTCAATCTCGCACCGGTGATGGCGAAACAGTCTTACATTTGGCAGCGAGATATAATAAACCTAAATTAGTACCTTATTTACTTGAGAAAGGTGCTGACATAAACATCAAAGATGATGATAATCTCACACCTCTTGATACGGCACGAGTTTACAAAGCAAAATAAATCATTACTATTTTATCTAATGAATTAGAAAAAAGAAAAGAATAAGTATATAATATTGAATTAATTATGATTATCAATATTGAAACTAAAAATTAATTTTTATATTGAGTAATTTTTTGTTTAATTGATGTAATTTCCAAATCAAGTGATTCGAATATTTTTTAAACCAATTTTGAAAATATTCAAAATGTCCATTTTGGACAAGATTCTATAATGCATCTAATTTCGTTGGTATTCCAATATAGTTTCATCCATTATTTCAATACTTTCTAAAATCAATAAATATGCTTTTTTGTTGACATTTTCAAATGAAAAAATTGAGTTACTTCTTCCGCCCAACGAACCATGTATATTTTAATTCAAACAGTCTCAATGTCATAATTGTTATAATAAAATTTTCAGAGGAAAAAAAATAATCGTAAATTTATCTGGCAGAATTTATATTTTGTGAACTAAAAAAATTCTTTGTTCAAACATTTAAATGGAAGTTCCCAAAGTTATTCAAGATTTAACTAACAAAGACGAGAAAGACACTCGACAAATGCAAACGCTTCAAAATGTATTTAGAGCACAAATGGAATCTCTATTCCAATCTTCTCCGAATAACGGTGCAGTCGGACCATATACTCCGTATTCAGAAATACATTGTGAATTCGATATGTCAACAGAAGTTAAATGCAAAAAAATACTTGAAACTATAAATGAATTAGATAGCAGAGAAATAAATTTTTTATTACTAATATGCTCAGATATCGAGAAACAATATCCATCATTAATACCACTCTTAGATTCCTCTCTTATAGTTGCTGCTGATAGAGCAAACACAGTTTCAAAATTACAAATATTACAAAAATACATTGAAAATAAAACAAGAAAAACTGAATATGATTTTGGATTTATAATAATACAGAAAATAAAACAGAATATTGCTACTGATATTCAATCATCTAATGAAATTTCATCAATATATTTTTCCGATAAAATAATTTCAATTTTCAAAAATGATGAAAATTTCAAGAATGCAGATGATGGATGTTTACTTATTCATTATGGCGAAAATTATTTTGTATTTAACAATACAACACATGAAATCAAATATTCAAAATCATTAAATCAAAATGAGATCACAACAATAGATTTTTCTCAGATTTTAGATGTTGAAAACGGCAGAATTTATGGACTGAATACAATCAACAATAATTTATATATCAGCCAGATAAATGATGATGAATTAACTTTAACAGTTTATCCAAATGGTTTCTTATCCGAGAATCCAGAAAAAACACAGTATTCAATAAAATTATTAGGAAACATTGATGAAACTGTTAAAATAGAAAATTGTTCAAATTCGGAAACATTAACAGTATTTTACGAAGATGGAACAGCTCAAACAATAGATTTGACAAGAAGAGAATTTACAAATGACGATAAGATATTTTCTGACACTATTTACGTGTCAAATTTTTCAAATGTCAAAAAACCTTTTGTTTTCAGCTTTTGCATAATAGACAACGTCTTATATACATACAAACAACAGATAGAAAAAAGCGGATTCGCATTTTATGTTTGTCCTTTATTAGGTTTCAACACAGACCAGATTATCCTCAATATCTGCTCTGACATAATGAGACAAGTAAACAACAAATTGACAAAATTAATGTCAGGTAGAAATGTTGACACAAGACTTTGTGAAAATTCAATTGAAATCATTGATTTATGCTTATCAATTCTCAACAATTATCCAATCAAGAGTGAAATCTCTCACTATTTATATACAACATTGACAAGATTAATTGTCTTGAACATCAAAAGATTGGAAACATTGAACATGGAAATTCCAAAGTTTTATTTAGACGAAACAATTTCAATCTTAAGAGATTTACCATTGAGCCTACCATTTTTAGAGACATTGAATTTCTTTACTCGGAATTTCGATTGCAAGTGCAATAAATCAATGTTACAAATCACTTCCAATTACTGAAACAGAAATAACTAACTATGTATTGATCAGAAAAGAAAATGATGATAAACAATCTACTAAACCGAAACTCATGAAACAAGTAAGCCAGAAAATAAAAGTTAGTATACAAGTCTTGGGTATGGTGGCACTGCGTTCCACCTTACCCAACACTTGTGAATTTGACACTTTACAAAACCGTTAACGTATATTTTACAACATGAACGCAAAAACTATCTTAACCTTAAATATTTACAAAGCCGCCAACAATTTCACCTCACTATCGTTCTCACTAACAACTTCACTAATGTTCTCATAAATTTTCCTCAATATCTTCATCATCAGTGTTAACCCTATTGTAGTCATACTTGAAGCCATAAACTTTCTCTAACTTCTTAACGTACAATTTACATAACTTACCTTCGTCATCGTATGGTTTAATGATATAACTATTTCTATCTTTATAAACAGTCAATGAAAAGTCAACTGGTCTCGGATGTATTTGAAAGAACATTTATGCTCAGGAAGGAAGAATAAATGTTTAAATGTATGTTTGTTATATGTTTTGATTTGTATGAGTTGCTTTTGTTCTGTCATTACATCCAAATAAAATAAAAATAATTTTAAAAAATAAAATAAAAAATAAATGATATCACCACCCTCACACGTATGAAAACATAGCACAAAAATAAATTTAGGTGAAGTGGTGAGATCTAACCCGATTTCTAACCCCGATTTCTAACCTCACTACCTGTTTAATTCATTGCTTTATTCCTCACTGTCGTCTGCTTTCTCCAACTCTTCTAACTTCTTCTTAAGTTCAGCAATGTTGTCTCATGAAGTTTAATCTTTCTCAAAATTCCTTCTTTATCTAATGGTTGCTTTATCTTTCTAAACTGAACTCTACCATCCTTCATAGTATGAATGTAAAACCTTCTGGAATAATTTCTGATTTAATGTATTCTACCAAAAACTTTGTTTCATTGCTTCAGTGACTTTAGTCGTCATTTCAATAAAATAAAAATTTTAATATTAAATAAAAAATAACGTTATTTTTTCAGTAAGGAAACGCAGGAGTTTTACGATTTATTTGTGGTGTGGGTTCTGGTTTAAATGTTGGAGTCGGTTTTGGAGTTGACTTTTGAACAGGAGTTTGTAATTCCATAGGTTCAGGAGTCATTGAAGGTGTTGTTTGTGAAGGCGTTGGTTTTGGCGATGGTGTCGGAGTTTTGTTTAACTTCAGCTACTTCAGTATTATTTACAACATTTGCTTTATTTCTTTTCAACATCATTACTGCTCCTGCTGTAGCTAGCAAACCTAGTGGGAGACCATATTTTATATAAGGACTTGACCAAATGCTATTTTTGACAGGAGCTGGTGGAACACCTAACCTTGGTGAGACTGCTCTTTGCCATTGTGCAGCTCGTAAGAAATATTCAATAGGTGCTCCATAATCGTTTGGTAAAGTTTGTTTCATAGATGGTGAAGGTTCACGAGAGCTTGATGAAGAACTCATTTATAAGCTTTAAAAATAAACGTTCATCCTTTATTCCTCACTGTCGTCCGTAGCTAAGTTATAGTCATCTAATCTTATTATTGGGATTCCATTAGCACGCACCTGAATGGCAAAGCAACAATCCCTCATAAATCCAATAAGTGGCTTTGGTACATTTTCAGTTGCTAGTTCAATAGGTCCTTTAACAGACAATTTGTATGTTATTGGAGCAGTAGATGTTTTGACCTTGCTGGAAGCAAAAGTCCACTTCTGTTGGAAAACCACATAAGAAATGTGTGTTGTCATAGCTATCCCATTTATGTTCCACACTACCATCATCCACCAATGACCTCATAACATCTTCATTAAATCCTATCATATCATTGTTTGTATTGCAAGCGTTCGCAACCATTTCATAAAATACAGGTCCATATGATTTTTCAGGTTCTGCAGGCATATTTCCATAAGCTCCCATGGAAAGCTGAAGATATTTAAACTTAGGGTTCTCAAAATTAACATAATAGTTGTCTTTCTTTCTAAATAGTGCCCAAATACTTTTAACATTAATAGGCGTATAAGCTGCTGTAAATGTTGCACTTGAACTATCTGTATTCTTTGAGAATGAACCGTCCATAGGAATCCAATCCATAACTTTAACAGGAAAACATAAAGCCTCGTTTGTATAATGTTCTACAAGTTCTGTATAAATGTTAGGGTCTAAAGAGAATGACTTTGGATGAATGAAACATTCATTAAAATCCATCTTTGTTCGAAATAGTTGCTGGGTTACAGTTGTAATAGTAACTGTTCCACTAGCTTCTATTGCCTTCGTTATCATAGTGAATGGTTCATTCCATGGAACAAATTTATTTGTCGGTGGATTTGAATCTGAAGCAAATGCAACTTTAAGAGTTGGATTGAAAGCAATGATATCATTTACAGATATAGATGTGCATTGTAATGCGTCGCTACTGAACTTTACTTTAAGCTGAATGTTACCAGCAAATGCAGGAATAAATCTTATAGCTTCTAATGGTAAAAACTTTCTAACAGGAATTCTTAAACGAAGCTTAAAATCAAATGATTTTCCTGCTGTAATTGGACCACTAACAATTTGTCCTGTTCTGCATGTTCCCGAATGACTCCATACATCTTCATGTCGAGTCTTTGAGAAAACATCTACTTTCTTTATTTGTTCGGTAGTTTGTGAGTTTGAAGTTATATATGCTTCTTCTCTTGCGTTGTCTTGAGAATATACGATACGACCATTTGCAAGGATTTGATATCCAGCAACTGCATAGAAAGCGTCATCGAAACCAATCCAAAATCCTGGTGGGTTTGTTTTATTGGAACCTGAACCAATTTCTTTATCTGCAATAAATTGACCTTCCATTTTATACGTAATGAATGTATTGTAAAGGTCCAACATATTTTCACCAGGAGGTGAGAGATTGAATGTTACCCATGTGTTATCTTTAGCAGTTCCAGGTTGTGATGGAATCTTTGCGTCAGAATATTTTCTATTAGTGTCACCAATTTGAACTGCATTGTCTATGATATCGAAATATGAGCGAATCTGATGAATATGCTCTGCTGGAGTAAATTCGTTTAACTGTTCGTTCTGCATGTATTTACTTCGGATAAAAATATCTATTTACTTCATTATTCTCACTCTTCTTCTTGGCATTCGTGGTGGAAGTTGTTTCTTGACATTTTCAATGAACTGTACATTCTCTTTTGTCTCAACTTCTTTCACTGGTGGGTCAGGGTTCTTTGACTCGGTTTGCTTTTCAATGAAATTCACGAACTTTGCAATAAGCTCTTGGTTCGTTATTGAAAGAACATCTGGCTTCTTTTCTTCTGTTCTATTGACTTTTCAGTTTGAATAGAAGGTTTTATATGGGCTTCGCCCTCGGTGCCATACACCTTAATGTTGTCGCTCTCTGCATTCGCTAATGGAACCTTTCTTTTTCTTACGTATATTTTACCATCTTTACTCTGACTTACATAATAGAAAGGATGTTGTATTCCTCTTGCGTCATTTAATATAATAGACTCTCGCTCTGATTTTGACAAGCTCATTTTACATCGGTTAAAGTTTTAATTTTATTTTTTATCTGCAGTCAAATGACTCAGACAAGTCATATGGACAAGACCCAAGGGGTCATAGATGTTGAAGCATTGAAGAAAGAAATTCGCGAGCAAATTTTATCCGAACTGAAGGAACAAAAACAAGAACAAAAGCCAGAGAGACCAAAGAGAAAACTTAGTGAAAAACAACTTGCTGCATTAGCTGCTGGAAGACAAAAGAACCCACGTTTGCTGGCGAAGAAAGCTAGAGAAGAAGCTGAAGCAAAAGCTAAAGAAGCTGAAGCAAAGAAAGAGTAAATGGTTTATTTTTATCCGAATTAAATGTATAGACAAATACCTTTATCTGTTGCGTTCAGTAGTGAAAACCCTGACGTCAAAATAAAGGGGAACAGAGTAACGTTTAAGTTTCCAACAGACTGGATTGTGAACATAAATGAAGAGAAGTACATTGGCATAACATCTATGTATATAACACGTGCATTTAGGAAAGTTGACTTTATACTTCAAGTCGAGATAGAAAATGACGAACAGTCTTTAAGTGTCCAAAACATTCACATATACAAATACTTTAAAGACGATACAACTTTACAAGAATGTATGATTTCCTTCAATGAAATGTTCGAGAAAAAGTTCAACATTGAAGTACAAACTTTACAGCCTTTACGTGAGTTTTTTGCACAACTGAAAGAAGAAGGTAGTCAGCCACAACTTATAGACTTTCATTATGAATTTAATGAAAATGAAGATGGAACACATGACTGTCAGTTTGTTATATATTCACCATTCAATGAAGTAGCTAAAGAGAAAGAAAATCCATTACGTATAAGATTTCAAATCTCTGAACCAAGTGATGATTTCAAGAATGTTTTCAATTATGATGCAATGCTTCCGAGGAAAAATGAATTTTCAAAGATTGTAACACCTGGCATTTGGGATAGAAAGCAAGCTATATTATTATTCAAACTTAAGTAAGGGAGTTGAAAATGAGTTCATTGGTCATACAAGAACTTCACCACTTCCTAACCCTAAATACTATAAATTAACTGGCTTCAATCGTGAGTTTTGGATAGACATGTTCTCCACTCATGACCATAACTGCCCAGTGTTCTTACCTCCAGACCATAAGGACTGTCTCTACATTGAAGCACAACTCTTAAACTCTACCATCGCAGTATTGTAAAATCTACGCTAGCTTTATTTTTATCACGAATGACCTCATTTCTGACAAAAATAAATGACCTCATTCATGACCTCATTCATGACCTCATTGCTGACAAAAATAAATGACCTCAGAACTTCAACTTACGAATAAAGCTTGTTTTAGTCGTTATTGAGAAGTTAAACTTTTCAGCAAAGCAAGGACTAGAAGACTTACATAAGTCAAATCCAATCTCTTGACCGTCATAAAGTGCTTTATAAACTTCATAACACTGAACTCAGAGTCTTTGTCAAATTTTCCTTGCGGAACCATTAAACCTTTATCTTCATCATAGAAACACTGAACAGAGTCAGGAAACATTTCATTAGCGGTTAAAGCAATAACATCTTGCTTCACGCCTTTCATTCTGCAGTGAAATGCAACTTCATTTAAATCGTTAGTGAGTAAGTCTATGTAGGTCTTCTTTCCACAAAATATTGACTTGTATGCTAACTTTGTTTTCCAGGTGTTATTTCTGCGAAGTCACTATGAAACTGACCAAGGTTTTTACCAATGAGAACTCTTCCATAACGTTTCTCAAACTCTTCAGCTAAACGAGGGATATCTTCATTGTAGAGATGCATACTGTCCGTATCGCTATAAAAGATGTCCATTCCTAAGTCTTCAGCAGTACAGAATACTTCACACATTATTCTCTTCGACATTGATAGAATATTTACACCAAGTGGACAGAAGTTAAAGTGTCTGCAAATGCTTTTCGTTAGCTTGAAAATAGTTTTATCTGAACCATCCAAACCTTCGAACTTCACTATATGGTTGTAGTTTCTGATGGCATATCTTATAGCATCTTTGTCATCTACTATGGTTATTTTTGACTCAATAGGAGATAGAATAGTTTTGCCATAAATACTGTTCAGAATGAGCTTTATATTTTCTTGCAAAGGATTTCCTTCTTTCTTATACTTTAACCTTAACTCAAACAACTTCTTTACTTCATCTCTTATTCTAATATCTCTGTTTCCATCGTAATAGTATCCTTGCAACACTTCACATTTGACACCTTGATATTTTATGAGGTCTTGTAATGTTATATGGTCAACATACATTAAACAGCAAGTGTTTGAACTTCTGGGAACGTTAAGTTCTGGATTTAGTTCAGGGTCACAAACTATTAAAGGAAAGTGTCTATGTATTCCAATCTCTGTTATCTTAATGAGAACAAAGAAGCCAGACATAAACTTTTCACCAATGGGTTCCTTTTGGTCGTCATCGAATAAATGTCTCATGAGATACTCTGTGCTTAGCATCTCATCCTTCATAACCTTTGGAATTCCTTCTAAAGTATAAAGTCTTGCTATAGCTGATGGATATAATGAAACAGCGTCGAAGTCAGCAATGAGTTTCTTTTCGCTCTTTTGTTTCATGTTATCTGACAACATACATCTTCCACCTTGAATGCATCTCGAAATAAATTCTCTTGGTTTATTTGAGAGGTCATATAAATTTCCATTCGGGAAGTACACTCTGTTCTCAAATAATTTGTTAGCAATTGAACAAATACTAACGTAGTCATAAACGTTTAAATCAAACTCTTTCAATAAGTCATTGCGGAACTTTACAAAACCTTCTCTTAAAATTCTTACATCTTGTTTGCAATAAAATGTGCTATATTTTTCTAAGTCGAAGTGGTTTTCATCTATTCTGCAACCTTTGATGGAATCTATGTTTTTCATAAATGTATCTGCATCCTGGATAAACTTACATGCTTCAG